CGACTCCTTACTTCTTGCAGTATGCTTCAATGGTATCATTTATTAGAAAACGAACAAATGGAAATATGGAATATTAAAAACGGAAATAAATATTCTAATTAGCTTTATCAACCCGTGAGAAAACCTTGTTATGTACAGTCTATTCAAGCCACCCGAATCAAAATTTTAGGAGCTGTCAATAACGACATTCGTTTATGAATGCGTAAAACGAGAGGTCGACTTCTTACTTCTTGCTGTAAGCTTGAGAAACTTTGGTACCTTAGACGCAATTGTGAAGCAAACTTTGGTCGTCTCCGATCAGGGACTTGCCACAGTCGGAAAAATCTTTGCTCTTTATTTCACCAAAAAGTGAATAAGTAATTATCCTGCTGTTTTCTGGAGCTGTCAATAACGACATTCGTTTATGAATGCGTAAAGCGAAGGAGGTCGACTCCTTACTTCTTGCACGACAGGCAACTCGCCAAAAGTGAACATAGGCAATGACATATTGACGTTCATTTATGCTGTGGTAATGTTTGATTATTCGATTGTGGCACATGAATATAACATTTCTATCCATAGAAATGGCCACCCTTTAAGCATCTTTATTTATAAACAATATAAAAATATCAGAATGATATAAATCACTCTCCAAGTATCTTTATTTATAAATAATATAAAAACATTATAATGACATTAATCACCCTTTAAGCATCTTTATTTATAAATAATCTAAAAACATCAGAATGATATAAATCACTCTCCAAGTATCTTTATTTATAAATAATATAAGAACATTGCCACAGTCGGAAAAATCTATGCTCTTCATTGCACGAAAAAGTGAATAAGTAATTATCCTGCTGTTTTCTGGAGCTGTCAATAACGACATTCGTTTATGAATGCGTAAAGCGAAGGAGGTCGACTCCTTACTTCTTGGACGACAGGCAACTCGCCAAAAGTGAACATAGGCAATGACATATTGACGTTCATTTATGATGTGGTAATGTTTGATTATTCAATTGTGGCAATTGATTATAACATTTCTATACATAGAAATGGCCACCCTCTAAGCATCTTTATTTATAAATAATATAAATACATTATAATGACATTAATCACCCTTTAAGCATCTTTATTTATAAATAAAAGAAAATTATTATAATGACATAAGTCATCCTTTAAGCATCTTTATTTATAAATAATATAAAAACATTATAATGACATAAGTCACCCTCCAAGCATCTTTATTTTTAAATAATATAAAAATATTATCATGGCATAATTCACCCTTTAAGCATCTTTATTTATAAATAATATAAGAACATTGCTGCAGTCGGAAAAATCTATGCTCTTCATTGTACCAAAAAGTGAATAAGTAATTATCCTGCTGTTTTCTGGAGCTGTCAATAACGACATTCGTTTATGAATGCGTAAAGCAAAGGAGGTCGACTCCTTACTTCTTGCACGACAGGCAACTCGCCAAAAGTGAACATAGGCAATGACATATTGACGTTCATTTATGTTGGGGTAATGTTTGATTATTCGATTGTGGCACATGATTATAACATTTCTATACATAGAAATGGCCACCCTCTAAGCATCTTTATTTATAAATAATATAAAAACATTATAATGACATTAATCATCCTTTAAGCATCTTTATTTATAAATAAAAGAAAATTATTATAATGACATAAGTCATCCTTTAAGCATCTTTATTTATAAATAATATAAAAACATTATAATGACATAAGTCACCCTCCAAGCATCTTTATTTTTAAATAATATAAAAATATTATAATGGCATAAGTCACCCTTTAAGTATCTTTATTTATAAGTAATATAAGAACATTGCTGCAGTTGGAAAAATCTATGCTCTTCATTCTATCAAAAAGTGAATAAGTAATTATCCTGCTGTTTTCTGGAGCTGTCTATAACGACATTCGTTTATGAATGCGTAAAGCGAAGAAGGTCGACTCCTTACTTCTTGCACGACAGGCAACTCGTCAAAAGTGAACATAGGCAATGACATATTGACGTTCATTTTTGATGTGCTACTGTTTGATTAATTAATAGCCAAGATGCTATAGTAGATTGTAACACATGATTATAACATTTCTGTACATAGAAATGGGCAAAACAATATTTTTAAATAATATAAGAATAATACAATGATATAAATCACCCTCCAAGTATCTTTATTTATAAATAATATAAAAACATTATAATGACATAAGTCACCCTCTAAGCATCTTTATTCATAAATAAAAGAAAATTATTATAATGACATAAGTCATCCTTTAAGCATCTCTATTTATAAATAAAAGAAAATTATTATAATGACATAAGTCACCCTTTAAGCATCTTTATTTATAAATAAAAGAAAATTATTATAATGACATGTCACCCTTTAAGCATCTTTATTTATAAATAAAAGAAAATTATTATAATGACATAAGTCACCCTTTAAGCATCTTTATTTATAAATAATATAAGAACAGTCTGCTGCTGCAGTCGGAAAAATCTATGCTCTCTATTACACCAGAAAGTGAATGAGTAATAATTCTGCTGTCGAACATTGGTTTTCAACCGCTTTCTATTGCTCTGGATAACAATAATAATAATAATGATACAAAATAATAATACATATCAATAATAATAAATATTGGTTGTTTTGGCTTCCAGAGATCAGGAAGTTGCCACAGTCGGACAAAACTATGCTCTTTATTGCCCCAAAAAGTGAATGAGTAATCATTCTGCTGTTTTCTGGAGCTGTCAATAACGGCATTCGTTTATGAATGCGTAAAACGAATGAGGTCGACTCCTCACTTCTTGCACAACAGGCTCCGTACTGTTACTGCGTGAGTGTCGACTGTCGCCTGTCGAGTTGTCGAGTAGTAGGTACGACGACGACCTGGCTGGCTACTCTCTGTGTAGCGTGAGTTGCCATTTCCTGCTCCTCTTGACAAAACCTAAAATCTGTGTTTTCTTCCACTCCCATCAGACTTGAATGTCTATTCAGTCGGCAGTGGTCTGTCAGCAAACTTCTAGCGTTGATGTTCGTGCTGCCCCACATTGCATGATGTGCGTTAGCATTGCATTCTATTATGAGTTGGAGCTTCTGTTCCTCGCAGTAAGATGTAACATCCTTTAGTATCTGTGGGGAACATATTCTCTCCTCTCCGGGGAAGTAGGCGGAGCATGCTAGTTCCTAGCTTTTTCCTCCCTCCTCCGTGTGTAGTGTTAGGATCGCTGTAACAACATCGCCGGAGCATAGCTCCGGGATCAATATACTATATATCCTTTTATTATGCTTTGGGCCTTCTTGCATGGTAAAATTTCGTTACCGCAATAGTGAAGATGCTATAGTAGATTGTAGCACATTATTATAACATTTCTGTACATAGAAATGGACATAAAAATAGTCATTATAATTACCATCAGGCCTTGGTGCCAAAATTTTTATGTACTGTTTCGGGGTCAGATATAAATGTTGAAAACATAAAAAACTTATAAATAATACATACACACTATAGATAGGTACGTAGTTTATAACCGTTAAACAGTAATTAATTACATTCGAGAATTGTGAAGGAACCATATAATATGTTCATATGTTATGACCGATACGATAAAAACTAAACTGCGGTGTTGCCAAATATTAGTACTCAGAAGTACTAACAATAAGTATACATTTATAAAGCCAGGTGCATATACAATATATGACACATTCAAGCCGTATTTCGTGCGTTTCAACAGATGACGCATAGAATTCACGAAAACTATTCGTATTTTCAAGATATTTTTGAAAATAAAAAGTGTTGATGACGAAGTTTTGATGTTTCATAATTTTGTGACATTTCTACAGTGAGTAAATAATCTCGAGTTTGCACGTGAATTGTTGATTTGTGGCTACCTAGGCGTAGAGGAATAGAAGCAAAGGTCGAAAATCGAAAATATTTCTTAGGCGAATTGTCTCATAGTTTGGAGAATGAGTTACCGTACTCCCATTTCCTCGATCAAGCATCAGAACAAGAACAGAGCGCTGAATATAAAAAGAGAGGCTATCACCCCGTCAACATTGGAGATGAATATCGTGCAAGGTACTATGTGATAAGAAAATTAGGCTTTGGTACTTATTCTACTGTTTTGCTTTGTTGGTATAAGAAAGACGAACATTTTGTGGCCCTAAAAATTCTGGAATCAAGTTCAACTTATTCTGGCATTGCTTTAGAAGAAATAAAATTTCTCAGAATCGTGGATGAAGCTAATCCTCAAGACCCGAGACGAAACAGATTAGTCCGACTTTTAAATGATTTCCAAATTAGTGGTGTTAATGGAAAACATATTTGCCTTGAATTTGAAATCACTGGCTATAACTTGTTAAAACTATTATTACAATACAATGGCAAAAGCATCCCATTAGCCAATGTCCGTACAATAATGAAGCAAGTCTTAGAAGGTATGGAATATCTCCACTCCAAATGCAAAATTATCCATGGGGATGTGAAACCAGAAAATATTCTCATGTGGCACCCTTGCTACAACAGTGACACAACTCAAAAAACCTACTTTTATACAAAACGCAAAAAACTGTCCTACAAACAACTCATTGTTTTACCTTAATTTTAGGCTGGAAACTAAAATTATTTGTTATAAGAAGACAGATTAGGTTCGTATTTTTGGTCAACCATCTTTATTAACACCTATCAACCAACATTTTGAGTTGTGACATTTTTGAGAGCCTTACTTGAGAATAAATAGCAAAATTATTTTGACTTATAACATTTTTGATTTTTCAATCAGGAAATATGACACTTTTGATTTTTTATATTTTTTTCATAATGTCAAGCTTTTTGAGAAATGACGTTTTTATTTATTTTTTGACTGGGAAAAATAAAAACCAACTGCTAATAAAAAAAATTTCATGTTAACTCAAATCAAATGCACACAACAAAAAATTTACTTCTGCAGAAAAAATCGTTAAAAAAATAAATTTAAACATTTTTATCAATGAATTATTAGATTTCTAAAACATTTTTAAAATACGTGTTATAGTGAAATTTAGGAATTATATTCTTTTCGGCAAGTTCTTTAAGATCTCTTTTTTTATTGTCACTTAGTGGAATTCTGTTAGCATAGGCTTTGACCAAACGCACTTTGCGTTCGGAGTTTTCTTTGCCTCTGGTATTTTTTCCTCTAGAAATGTTAACCATTTTAAATGTTGCATCCTCATAAGAGTTTTTGTAAAAAAAGCTTTTTGGGCTTTCCTTTTCCACTCTGAGCATTTTTATATCGAGCCATTTAACCTTTTCGTTTTCGGTATTTATTGAAAAGTTACTCCCGTATTCTTCTTGCAAAATTTTCAAATCGTAGAAGTCTTCATAAGTCATGTCGTGGACGCTATCGCGGGCCAACTTTTTTTGCTGTTCTAATTAGAGTTGCATATTGCTCGGGAACGTATATAGGATTAGATTTAAGATGCCTTTTCACTTGTTTTTCGATGACGCTATGAACATTGTCTCCTTCGTTCTGAGAATGACCATGAATCAAAAATTTATGAACGATACTGCGAATACGAAGTGTCGACACAGCGTTTAGATATGCAGCAACTAAATATTTATTTTTTTGCTGGCCGGAGCAGTTGTCTGAATATATAGTATCACATCCAAATTATCATTTTCGGCATTTTCGCTCAATTCTTTTAAATAATATAAAACGCAACTTCCAATTTCTGTGGCACCACGTTTGCCCTCCGTTTCATTCCAAAAGTAACAGTCTACATTTTTCAAATTTAAATCACTTATTGTGAAATTGTAACAATTTAGCTTACTTTTGTAATAAAAAGATGAGACCAATCCTCGAGGCACCGGCATTACTGCCTGAAGATCATACACAGCGACATGTGCACCATCTTGATTCAATTTATCAGCATCCTTCTCTTTCCTTGACAATACTTTTTCTTTGAGGTGAAGATCGTAGGACTCTTGAAGCTTCAGTTTGCCTTGCTCATCTGAATTTTTGTAAGATTCGCATAGATCGCATTGATCTTTTTTAGGCGAGTAAAATCCTATGTTAAATTCTCCATTAAAAATTCGATTGAACATCACAGAATTGGCATAACCCAGCTGTTGAGATTGCCTTTCTTCTTTATAGTCACGGTGAAGATCTGCTAGACTTTTGCCACTCTCAATATATTCCCGTTTAGTTTGAGCTCGCAAGTAATGTGACTCAACCCTTGGTATTTTATCTATGAAAGCTCTCACGCTTTCTTTGATGCTAGGGTCCACAGTTGGGTGTTTTCCGTGTTTTCCCCTTTTGTCGCTTTCTAAAAATCCATTCTCGGTTTTTTTTTTCAAAGCAGTGCGGATTGGCCTGTCATTTAAGTCCAGTGTGGCTTAAAAAAAAAATTTGCATACCCGTACACTGCTATCGTTAATGTCAAAATAAAAAGCGCAGTTCATGCTTCTATAATCTTGGGTAGTGGAATAGCGATATTTCGGCTTAATATAATCAGTATGCGCTACAATAAACTCTCTCTGTCTTTGAATGTCGCTGAGCTGCCAATAGCTCGAAAAAATATTCTTTCTTGCCTCTTCATTTATTTTCTTGTTGCACTGTAACCTACACTTATCTCCACAAGGAGAACGGACTTTTCTTTCACAAAACTTCTTTTTGTTCTTGGAAGCCGATGTATAGGCCTTTCCAGAGTTTCTTAAATATTTGGCTTTTTTAAAACTCCAAGCTTCGGGGTTGGCTTTTCTTTTCTTGCCTTTCTTCTTACTTTCTTCCTGATTTGAATCATCTTCTTCTATCATTCCTTCTCTGTCCGTATCGCTTTCTGAAGTAGAGTTATTGTAATTTGGATCAGCATCGGAATCATCCACATCACTTTCGCCACTATGTATTGGAGATATAATATACTTGTTCCCTTCTAGTCTCTGAAAACGTAGTACCATTGGACGGTCCGAGCTACAGGATGCTTTATAAGTGTAGGCTTCTTGGTCTTCCAACAAGCTAGATGGGGAAAGATTATGGTGCCCCAAACTAGAGGATGCTTCATTAGTATAAGCATGCTCATTTTCAACTAAGTTAGCTGGTAGAACATTAGGATGGTCAGAACTGCAGGATGCTTTATGAATGTAGGCTTCTTGGTCTTCCAATAAGTTAGCTGGGGAAAGATTGGGGTGCCCCAAACTAGAGGATGCTTCGTTAGTACAAGCATTCACATTTTCAACTAACTTAGCTGGTAGAACATTAGGAAAGTCCGAACTGCAGGATGCTTTATAGGTGTAGGCTTCTTGGTCTTCCAAAGGGTTACCTGAAGAAAGATTAGGACTACCCAAATTAGAGAATACTTTATTAGTACACGCATCCTCATCTTCGGCTAAGTTAACTGGTGAAATATTAGGACGGTCCGCACTACAGGATGTTTGATAGGTGTAGGCTTCTTGTTCTTCCAATAAGTTAGCTGGGGAAAGATTAGGGTGACCCAAACTAGTGGATGCTTTATTGTTACAAGCACTATCATCTTCAACTAAGTTAGCTTGTAGAAGATTAGGAGAATCCAAATTAGGGGATGCATTATTGGTACAAACTTCTTGATCTCCAACTAAATTAGACGGCGAAGGATTTGGACGACCCATACTAGAACATAATATTCTTCCTTCCTTATCTTCATCTAAATTAACTGGGGGCAGATTATCTGGTAGAATATTTTCTTTATTTTCCGTTTCTATAGTTTCCTGAATTGCATCATCGTTGCTATAATCTTGTGTCTCCTTAAATTTCAGGGCTGCCAGTTTTAGAAGCCTTTTCGTTCGACTTGATCTTGAATTCATGGTAGAGTTTCTGCAAGAAGTAAAAAATAATTCTTCAATAGGGTTATTGAAACACTTGGTAATTCTCCAAGGTGTCTTACCCATCATAACATTTTTGATTTCACAGATAAAAGCCTATTACTCATAACGCGAAATTCGTTCTTTTTTGACATTGCTCCGACAATTTGACGTTTGATTCACGAATAAAACGTCACATTGTCGAAGCAATGTCAAAAAAGAGCGAATTTCGCTGTTGTGAGTACTAGGCTAAAGTATGTTTTTTTTTTAAGATAATTCCCCAAGTCAAAAATTTAGTAACTATATTGGCAACACAAGCTTTTTCTACATAATTTGAAAGCATTGACAATTTTACATTGTATGGCCAACATAATGTCATTTCGACTTTTATCTTTAAAAAAAAATAGACTAAATAAAATCTGTTTTTTTTTTTAAAGATAAAAGTCAAAATGACATTATGTTGGCAATATAATGTAAAAGTGTCAATCCTTTCAAATTTTTTATGTAGAAAAGGCTTGTGTTACCAACATAGTTACTAAATTTTTGACTTGGGGAATTATCTTTAAAAAAAAACGAACTTTATTTGAAATTTGGTGTGCGACGACAGGTGTTATCTACCGCCTACATAAGGATGAAATGAACGCACTCTTAAGCAGAACAAATAAATTTCAGAAACAAATTAGATAATTTTTGAAGGTTTTTCGGTGTAAAATGTCTTGAAATCTGCTTTTTTATATTATATTTTATTCGCTTTATTTAATACCTAGTATATTTTTCCTTAAATACTAACAAAACCATAACATTCTCAGGCATTTTAATAAAAGGTTAAAAGAGACTTGACTGCCATTTTGAAAATTAAATTATTAAAAGTGGCATAAGTAAAAATAAGAAAAAAATATTTACTTACCCTTATTTTCTAAAACGACACTCTCAAATTAATCCCAGATGTGATTGCAACTTAACTCAACAAAAGTGTATGAACTCCAAATAACCACTGCAAATCTATGTTGACTGATCTTAAAAAATGACACAACTCAAAATAATTCACTTTTCGATACATCTCACCCCTACGAACTATAGAGTGCAACTAACAATGTGACGTTTTTGCAGAAGGTGTATATCTTAGAAGCAATCGTCAAAAGCGTAATATAGGCCATCTGGCGGATCATGGAGTAAGCTAAATTATAGCAGTTTTGATGATCGATGCGGTCTATGGGAAATATCCGGCTGATGGTATTAACTCGGAAATAGTAGTTTTTGAGTTGTGTCACTGTTGTAGCAAGGGTGCGATGTGTGTTACAGAAGATTATAATATAAAACTCGCATGTGAAGTTGCTGAAATGCACCGGTCCAAAATTAAATTACCCGCTTCCGTTGTTACCAATGCACCATTAGGCACAATTAAATCATTCAAGCAATGAGATGAGCGTGTTTGATTGGATTTGATTTGATTAGTCAATACATAGCAAACCCTGATAGTAGATACCTTCACCTACCAAGTGTTAAAATGGAATAATTGAGGAAATTAAATACATCGAGGATCAAAAATGAAATGGTATAATATACACATAAAAAACATGGGAACAGGGGACAGCATAGTGGACAATGTGTCCACAAACACAAGAAACTATCAATGTCCATTTATTGTTGGAAAGATATAAAAAATATAACTTTTTACTATAAAATAAATGCGGATCGGAGGCGTATATCATCTTTCAAAAGGCAAGTAAAAATTATTATGGATACCATCGAAGAGAAAAAAAAATCGCTGAATCTGAATCGGTTGGGAATACTTCTAACACTCCTTCCCCATCCTCGAGCAGTGGCAAAAAGTCGGAATTCAATCCAGTCTTTGAAGAAAGTGAATTTGAACTTAAAATTGCTGACCTCAGACTCGCTTCCAGGATTGGAGGACCGCTCTATCCAATCAAGACCATATAGATCTTTAGAGGTTCTTTTTGGCGCCAATTATAATGCTGCAGCAGATATTTGGAGCACCGCCTGCATGGCGATTGAACTAGCCACAGGATGCTACTTATTTAAACTAGATTCTGGAAATACTCACCCAGACGACAACCATTTAGCCCAAAATTATAGAGTTGTTGAAAAGCATTCCAAAAGAAATTGTCCAAAGTGGCTGGAAGCCCCAACTATTATTAAATAAGCAAAACAAGCTTCGTCATATCCATCAATTACACCCGTCAGGTTTGGAAGATATATTGCGGAAAAAATATGATTGGTCTTTAGGGGATGCCCAAGAGTTTGCTGCTTTCCTTTTACCAATGTTGCAGTTTGATGTGGACAAAAGAGCTACCGCATCAGAACGTTTGAAGCACCCATGGTTGAGCCTCAATAAGCCCCTGTAGATGACTGTTCGAAGAGATAATTCATTTTTCTTTTTTGTGTAATGAAATTTGCGAAATAAATATGTATGTATTTAATTAAACAAATGTCCTATTCAATCTTCTTTGATGCGGAACTGGATTCATCCTATTTTAAAGAAGGGAAGCATATCTTCCTTTTTTAGGATCTCGAATTGGAAAGATCTATACCTGGCTCTTGTCAGTTTGGAATTTCCCAAAGACCACAAGTCTGTGTTCAGTCCATGGTTTCCTACTTGAAGCCTTTTTAGGATCCTCTCTCTGGTAACTGCTTTCCCATCATCGTTGGGGATAAACATTGTGCAAGCATAGGGCTTCGGGATCTCATCTCCTTCCAGCGTCTTTAAGACTACTTCTTCCCATGGCGTTAGTGATAGAATTGCTTCCTCAAGCCATTGGACGCTCACAGCGTCTGCACAGGTGAAAACTAGGTATCCCGACCTGTGTGTGCATTTGTGGTCCTTCTGCTGCGACTTCCTCGTACTTTCCCATTAGAGATTTTTGGATGGCCTTCAGTTTTTCGGAGTTCAATATATATCAATATAAGCATCTTTATTTATAAATAATATAAAAACATTATAATGACATAAATCACTTTTTAAGCATACACAATAATTGTATACCAAAATTATCATTCTCGCTGCCAGAAATCAGAGGGTTGCTGCAGTCGGGAAAATCTGTGCTCTTTATTGCATCAAAAAGTGAATTAATATTCATCCTGCTGGTTTTGTAGAGCTGGAAATAATATTATAATACATAAATCACCCTTTGAGTATCTTCTGTATATCTTCTAATGTCTTGCCTCCAAAAAATTATTATAATGACATCAGTCACCCTTTAAGCATCTTTATTTATAAATAAAAGAAAATTATTATAATGACATAAGTCACCCTTCAAGCATCTTTATTTATAAATAAAAGAAAATTATTATAATGACATAAGTCATCCTTCAAGCATCTTTATTTATGAATAAAAAAAAATTATTATAATGACATAAGTCATCCTTCAAGCATCTTTATTTATGAATAAAAGAAAATTATTATAATGACATAAGTCATCCTTCAAGCATATTTATTTATGAATAAAAGAAAATTATTATAATGACATAAGTCATCCTTCAAGCATCTTTATTTATGAAGAAAAGAAAATTATTATAATGACATAAGTCACCCTTTAAGCATCTTTATTTATAAATAATCATTGCTGCAGTCGGAAAAAACTATGCTCTTCATTGTACCAAAAAGTGAATAAGTAATTATCCTGCTGTTTTCTGGAGCTGTCAATAACGACATTCGTTTATGAATGCGTAAAGCAAAGGAGGTCGACTCCTTACTTCTTGCACGACAGGCAACTCTTCAAAAGTGAACATAGGCATATTGACGTTCATTTATGATGTGGTAATGTTTGATTATTTAATTGTGGCAAATTATTATAACATTCTTTATTTATAAATAAAAAAAAATTATTATAATGACATGTCATCCTTTAAGCATCTTTATTTATAAATAAAAGAAAATTATTATATTCACATAACTAATCCTTTAAGTATCTTTATTTATAAATAAAAGAAAATTATTATGACATAAGTCACCCTATAAGTATCTTTATTTATAAAAGCAAACTTTGGTCCTTTTTGATCAGGGACTTGTCACAGTCGGAAAAATCTATGCTTTCCATTGCACCAAAAAGGGAATTACTAATTATCCTGCTGTTTTGTGGAGCTGTCAATAACGGCATTCGTATATGAATGCGTAAAGCGAAGGAGGTCGATTCCTTACTTCTTGCTGTAGGCTTGAGAATCTTTATTTATAAATAATATAAAAACATTATAATGACATAAGTCACCTTTTAAGCATCTTAATTTATAAATAATATAAGAACATTATAATGACATAAATTGCCTTTTAGACATCTAATTCTCCTCGAATGTCTTTCCTTTCGTTTTTAGTACCTATGTAAAAATAATAAACAATCGAGCAAATCAGGCTCAACTCGCCAAAAGTGAACGTGTGAATATATTTATTTATTCATTTGTGATGTGGTAAAATTTGTATTGCCAATTAAGTACCTGCCCAAAATAATGTTGAAGTGGTGCCAAACAAATTGATTATAAAATTATATGATATTAAAGCAAAATTTACAGTAAAACTTACCAAAAACTGTGACAAAAACCAGTCCTAATATGAAAAATTTACACTCTTGCAATTAAACCTCGGCTGTAGTCTCCACTGACTTTAAGCCAACATTTGCCGATTTCGATTTTTTTATGGTTTTGGGTATAAGTGCAATAAACTTTAGGAGTAAGATAATCCACTGCTGATTTCATTGGTGGCAAGTTCCAGAAGCCATCAAAATCTATTACTTCAAAGGCTTTATACTCTATTTTTTCACATTCTATAATTTATTTAACATCATCATCTTCTTCTATAGTTTGCTCAATATTTTAATTTTCGTTTTCCAACTTCTCCAGCCAAACTAACCCAAAGTGAACACAATAGTATTGAACTGTCGCCGTATTCCATATAAAAAACTTTTGCATATTCATACACATCATCCGCCCAAACATTATTGTTGCCGTTATTGTGGAATTTGGACAATTACTGTCAATTGAAAATTTAGCTTTTTGTGGAATCAAGTTTGCAAAATGTATTTCATAAGCTCGAGGGAATTTTCTTTCACTATTCTGGCATTTCAATAATCTGCTAATATACTATAAACACCTTTATTGATACGAAAAACTGATGCATGTTCCTCAAGTTCCAAAAGTCTGCACCGGAAATATACGTTTCTTGATCTCTGGTAAAATAATTATGCAAAATATGCCATTCACTAACTAATGTATTGCATATTGGCTATAATATCTTAATTAATTGAGCCAACTGAAACCATGGTTGGAAATAAGTAAAACTAATTTCTATTATATTTTCGCTAAATTTTATTAAAACAGTAACATGTTCGGTTTCATATTAGGTCACATAATAAAAAAGTATATGTATATGGTCGCTTGTACTGAAGCTCTTCCTAATTTCAGTTTATTCTCTTGTCTGATATTTGTTAGTATTTTTGTTAATAGTCTGAACGTTAGATTGAGTAGTGTTATTAATCTGTAATTCATAGGATCCTTCATGATTCTTTTTTTAAAAACTAACATCGTTGTTGCTTTGTTCCAGTTATTCAGTATCATTTTTATGTTAAGTGTTTTATTCATTAGGTCATCAGAATCTAAAGAGATCATTTTTGGGCCACCAACATTGATACGAAATCTGTGACTAGAGGGCACAGTGTTCCACAAAATGAAGTTTTGTCTATAGATCATGCTGGAATGACTCCAATGGAGAAAAAGCGCTCTAGCAAACTTCTTGTTCATAGTGAATCTATACCAGTACCAATACGCCAAGTATCAAAAGCCAGCGTTCATAGGGCTATTAACAATAGCGTCTGAAGACTAAACTATCAACAGTCTAAAAGAATCCAACATTATGCCTTTCCTGTGATTACTCGCAATCAGCATGTAATTATGGTAAATGACGCAAAATCTGGCAAAACAATGGCTTTCCTTCCAATCTTATTGTCATTTATAATGGAACAAAAAGATAGGTATAGCAAATTATTAAAACTAAGAGGGGGACCTTTCGTGGTTATATTATGCAGAACTTCCAAAAGATGTGAGGAAATTCAAGATTTAATAAACCCGATTCTTCACAAATACAATACAAAATGTACCTCAGTTACTAAACCTGGATACATCAACATGAGCAAACTTGAAATTCTTATAACAATGCCCACAGCATTGTTACATATGATCTCCGTTAAAGCAACAGACTATAAACGAGTTTGTCATTTCGTACTTGAAGATGCTGACATAATCCTCAAATCACATAACAAGCTGATTGAAAAATTTCTAAATTTGACTGATTAAGTTTTGAGACATAGAAATTGTCCAAAATCAATACAATTAATCATGCGCGCTCAGCATTGGACTGTCCAAATGAAAGATATACTATTAAAAGTGAATCAAGTTCCTACAGTGTGCATAGGAAATTATTTGGAGGCAGCCCTAGTGTCAACTTGATAATGAAAAGGGTATTTTGTGTGTGGAGAATACTTGGAATAATGTTGCAGCTGGCAAATATTCAGTTTTTGCCTGTACAGATGAAATTTACAATACAATAAACATAACAAACGCCCAATTTTTTGATGCAGTCCTCTTTTTCATACTCCTAGACGCGATTTATCAAAAGATTTAGTTGTCTTCTGGAAAATGTTCAAACACCCCTGAACAATAATCAGAGCAAACATTAATTAAGCACTTACATATTCGTTGATAAACATTGTGAGCCAAGAATGTCCACATTCAGAAATATTGTCAGAATCTCCGGAACAGAAAAGGAGTTGCTAGAACAAATAAAAACATTCTTAATGAGGGTGCCCAGTATCTTAAAAAAGCGAAAAACCGAAAGTGGACGAGATACAAACGGAAACTACGCAAAAAGTATTCAAAATGAATCAGGGCCCCACCGCAAAGGACCTCTAGGATAAACTAACAAGACCCAGAAAAGAAACTCGAAATGAACCTCTGATAGCCATAAATCATGTAGAAGGAATGACGTTATCCCTTTACAAAAATGAGCCAAGCAATCTTTCACAAGACGAAATCCAAAATACATATATACACAACAAGGATCAAACATCACGAGGAAAAACAAGCTACCCCGAAACAAAACGGAGCGAAAGACATATGCGATTATAATCGAAGAAGAAGGAAGAAACTCAAAGGGATTAATCAGAGACATAAAAAATGAGCTCAAGGAAACAGGCGGAAAGGAAAAAATCCTTGGCATAAGAAATACGAAGGAAGGAAAAGTTCTCATCACCCCAGAAATCTTGTCAGAATCTCTGGAATAGTAAAGGATATATGGATATCCCTATGGATGTTAACAATAGCGTCTCTAGACTCAATTATTAACAGTCAATCAGCATTTTGTTGTTTGTAACTCTTGACACTGAAACTCAAGTTTAGAGTTGAAATTATAGTTCAAGTCAGTCTGATAAAGCTAAAGTATACCGACACATGTTACTGTTTTTATGAAATATAGTAGAAATTAGTATTGTATAGTAGAAATTAGTAATTAGTCCTACTTCTTTCCAACCATATCTATAATATCACTGATTTTATCAGTACGATCTTCGTATTTGAGGTAAGAACTATCTTGGGTTGGCAGGTTTTAGCCGAGCTCGTATAATCTTGTATGCATCCCCAAAGACATCACATAGCGTAAGCCAGGCATTTTTTTTTTTGCTGCATAGCTCCTTGGCGGTTTGGATTCTGCTACTTTATTGTTTCTTTCCAGTTCGTTTTTTGTTGTTCTTTGGAAGAGTCTTCTTTCAGTTCTCACGTTAACAATCATGTCCTTGATTTCCTAAGACCACCAGTATGGAAGATTGTATTCCTCATCATATTTCATCCTCGGCGTACCAATTTAGACATTTCAAGGCGGTTTCCTGGTACTGTGTTTGTTGCGGTAAGTCTCGTCGTTCTAACGAAAGTAGGGTTTTTGCCTTCGTTAAGAATGTTCAAGGACTGTGCGCTCGCCCATTCATTTGTCCTCGCTATGTGCTATTTTTTTCCTCAAAATCCCCAATTACTATTACTTTGTGCGAATCTGATATCTTCTATATCGTCTAGACATAGACAAAAGACATGCTAGCGAATTTATATTCTTCACATTCAACTGCCACAAAGCAGTTATTTTGGTATACCTTTATCACAGATAAATTCTTGTTTAGTATCACAATGAGAGCATTTTTGTTTTTATTATAATACATGTTCCTTTTGTTGCTGCATCTTTTCTTATTTGGTTCGCATTTTTATTTTGCGGCTACTAGTTCTGCCATGTCATATACCGGGATGCATATAGGCAGAAAGTACAACAAATTATCAATGGGAGTTTTGTACGGATTTGTATTTGCCTATCGGATTTTGATTTGTTTGACTGGAGATAGCGCGGAGGCGTCCTCTACCATTGCAAATTTAACAGATTTATTGTGGTATCTCCTATCTGTCCTTAGAGTGCGGTCTCTAGACCCGTCCTTTTTATTAGACTCCAGAGCCATGGTATTGGCCACTTCATGTAGCTTGCCGGATTGGGCTTTTCCTCTCCAAGCCTCGCAAACCTAAGCCTGCATAGCGCTTCGCAATGGCACCATACATGTACGGCAATTGCTTCCGCCTCCTGGCAGAACCTGCACAGGCTATCCTCTGCCAGGCTATTTTTTTCCTGGTGCTAGTTAAGTTTACAATGCCCTGTTGATTGGCTTACCGTTATCCTAACAATCTTGCGGATGTGGCTTAGTAGGTCCGCTATGAACTTGAGCGAGCAGGATTTGATAAACTGTTTTGCTTGTCGTTGTCCTGGTGTTCGCTGTTACCAGCTTTGGAACTCTCTGTCTATCTAGTTCTTGATAGATGTTTTAAAACTGCCTACAGAAATTCCGCAGAATGGTTCTGGGCCTATCATCTCAGTGGCCGAGCCTCCTTTAACTAACTATTAAGTAGCCTTTTCATTTCCTGGGTGGCCCTCATGGCCTGGTAGCCAGGCTAGGTAAGTTTATTGGACAGACCCACCTCCTCTAGGGCACGTATACAGTCCCCAACCAAGTTAGAGCTGATGTTTCGGGAGCTGATTGCCTTTAAGGCCGCCTGGCTGTCCGAGTAAATAACGATGTTTTAACTCTTAACTTTCCTTTCATTTATCAGTATGGCACAGTGCATTATTGCAGCGATTTTCGCCTGCAACACCGTGGCGTACTGTCCGAGACTTGTGGATATTTCCACCCTGGGTTTGTCCCCGTAAATGCCGGCTCCGACCCCCTTGCTGGTCTTTGAGCCGTTGGTGTACTAGATGTGGTCTGCTTTAATTGGAGGACCTTTCTTCAAGTCTTTCCTCTCTGGTATAGCAACCCGAAAGTGCCTGTTGAAGATGAAAATAGGTGTTGTTTTGTCTGAGGGTATCTCAAACAATGAGTTGACCTCTGGATCCTCTTCTATTTTCCAGCTCATGGGCCTTTGGTGTTTTATAATTGGACCCTGGCCTTGCTTCAGTTTGTATCGTACCGGCCATCGGATGTCGGTTCTGTTGGTTTTATTTGTAATTTCTGTCAATTATTTTTTATTTCATATTCTCGTTCCCCAAGTAACCGGAATTTTCAGTATCCATCTGTTAACCGGTTACTTTGGTTAAAGTTTGGTTATATTCGGACCATAGCCAAAGTTAATTTTAGTGCATATAGTGCAAGCGCGCTTTGATTTTTAAATATAATTCTCATTTACATAAGGACTAAATAGCACTAGACGAACGGGTTATTTGGGTATTGGGTAAGTCTGCATTTTCTTGATTTTTATTGATTCAATTTGCTTATTATACTATTTTTATGCTATGCCCGATTCTAATTCCGGCATTTGACAAATGACGATTGCAGGTATAGGCAATTTGTTGTACATTCTGCTCAAATGGTGCGGGCATAAGGTACGTCGTACTAGCAAGCCAATCAGCAAGCAACGCCTATTGCTTAGCCGTTGTAAATTCTGCCTATATGCTACCGGGACGCTTCTATTCGTGTTTAGTAGAAGTATCAGTTTGAATGTTGATTATCTTGTCCCTGTCTTCTTTCAATTTTCCTCAGCGATGATAGAGACTTTTTGAACATGGTACATCTTCCCGTGCCTGCTCTGAGTCCCTGTACATTGCAGATTGGTCAGTTTTCCTCGTTTGTGCAGGTTTTTGCTTGATGTCCTTTCTTCCCGCATCTGTAGCATGTATTTGTTGCAGTTCCGTTTAGTCTACATATATGCAGATTCCTTCAGCTTGCCTACTTTGCTTCGAGCACCTCTTCCCTGGTTCTATCTATGTCTATTCCGCGGATGTGGATAGTTTCCTTCGCCTAGCGGGATGTTCCACTGAGGGTCGGTTTCTCAATAGCAAGTCACCTCCGGATTGGCTTTAACCCAGGGTAAACATTGAATGTTTTCCCTGGAGCTATGCTTAACCCGGGGGTTGTCTTTGATTAATTCCTTCGAGTCTCTTACTTCTTCTTCGATTATAATCGTATATGTCTTTCGCTCCGTTTTCTTTCGGTTTTGTTTTGAGGAGCTTGTTCTTCCTTGTGATGTTTGATCCTTGCTGTGTATATATGTATTTTGGATTTCGTCTTGTGAAAGATTGCTTGGCTCATTTTTGTGAAGCGGGATAACGTCATTATTTCTACATGATTTATGGCTATCAGAGGTTCATTTCGAGTTTCTTTTCTGGGTCTTGTTAGTTTATCCTAGAGGTCCTTTGCGGTGGGGCCCTGATTCATTTTGAATACTTTCTGCGTAATTTCCGTTTGTATCTCGTCCACTTTTTTTAAGATACTGGGCACCCTCATGAAGAATGTTTCTATTTGTTCTAACAACTCCTTTTCTATTCCGGAGATTTTGACAATATTTCTGAATTTGGACATTCTTGGCTCACAATGTTTATCAACGAATATGTAAGTGCTTAATTCATGTTTGCTCTGATTATTATTGTTCAGGGGTGTTTGAACATTTTCCAGAAGACAACTAAATCTTTTGATAAACCGCGTCCAGGAGTATGACAAAGAAGACTGCATCAAAAAATTGGGCGTTTGTTATGTTTATTGTATTGTAAATTTCATCTTTACAGGCAAAAACTGAATATTTGCCAGCTGCAACATTATTCCAAGTATTCTCTACATACAAAATACCCTTTTCATTATCAAGTTGACACTAAGACATATATTCTATTTCTTCCACAGTGAAAAATGTTTGGATATCTTCAACTTCATCCTCATTACAAATAAGAACTGATTTGGTGAATTTGTATTTGTTATCAAGCACTTTTTGTAAGCTGGATTCTTTATTGTTGGAATCCAAAAATTTCATGGAAAATTTATTTCTGCCATATAGGGCTGCCTCCAAATAATTTCCTATGCACACTGTAGGAACTTGATTCAGTTTTAATAGTATATCTTTCATTTGGACAGTCCAATGCTGAGCGCACATGATTAATTGTATTGATTTTGGACAATTTCTATGTCTCAAAACTTGATCAGCCAAATTTAGAAATTTTTTAATCAACTCGTTATGTGATTTGAGGATTATGTCAGCATCTTCAAGTACGAAATGAAAAACTCGTTTATAGTCTGTTGCTTTAACGGAGATCATATGTAACAATGCTGTGGGCATTGTTTAAGAATTTCAACTTTGCTCATGTTGATGTATCCAGGTTTAGTAACTGAGGTACATTTTGTATTGTATTTGTGAAGAATCGGGTTTATTAAATCTTGAATTTCCTCACATCTTTTGGAAGTTCTGCATAATATAACCACGAAAGGTCCCCCTCTTAGTTTTAATAATTTGCTATACCTATCTTTTTGTTCCATTATAAATGACAATAAGATTGGAAGGTAAGCCATTGTTTTGCCAGATTTTGCGTCATTTACCATAATTACATGCTGATTGCGAGTAATCACAGGAAATGCATAATGTTGGATTCTTTTAGACTGTTGATAGTTTAGTCTTCAGACGCTATTGTTAATAGCCCTATGAACGCTGGCTTTTGATACTTGGCGTATTGGTACTGGTATAGATTCACTATGAACAAGAAGTTTGCTAGAGCGCTTTTTCTCTATTGGAGTCATTCCAGCATGATCTATAGACAAAACTTCATTTTGTGGAACACTGTGCCCTCTAGTCACAGATTTCGTATCAATATTGGTGGCCTAAAAATGATCTCTTTAGATTCTGATGTCCTAATGAATAAAACACTTAACATAAAAATGATACTGAATAACTGGAACAAAGCAACAACGATGTTAGTTTTCAAAAAAGGAATCATAATGAATGAATTACAGATTAATAACACTACTCAATGTAACGTTCAGACCATTAACAAAAATACTAACACAGATTACCATCCAAATTAGACAAATATCAGGCAAGAGAATAAACTGAAAAACTTTTCAATATGTGATAATATGAGTGTTCCGTTAAACCATAAAGAACTCCGCAAAGTTGCTAATAAGTGTATAAGTGGAGTTTACAGATCTGCAAATACATTTCTATTTTTTTTTTTATTGACTTGCATTTTCTCCAGCAGTTGGGTTAAGTCACTGTAAAACATTTATTATTACTCAATTTTAAGATCTCTATATAACTTCTTCAATAGATAAGTGTTTGTGTTTCCAGTACCTTCTATTATTAATGTTTATAACTTTTGATAGATGTCTAAAGTAAATTTTAGAAAAACATGGTTGTTTAAATGGATAAAGTAGATTTTTAAGTGTTTATTTAATGTAGAGTGTGTCCATTAGGGGGCTGTGTATGTTCGCTTAATCTCTCATGCATTTTTCACTTTCATCTAAAAACCTTTCCTTTCTTCTTGTGATTTGTTGATGAACCATTGTTTTTGCCTCTTATATTTGATTTTTTTCTTCAGGTAGTAGGAAGCCAGACAATTTAAGTAGAAGAGTCTCTTTGAATTATTGATGTTTTTATTTTTATGTACAATGTACGTATACTTCGTTTTAAGTGTTGTTATATCATATACAAAGTGTTCAGTATAAGAATGTATTTTTCAGTCATGTCATAGACCCAGTTAATTTTATATAAATTGTAAATTTGACCTTCCTCAAACCTCCTGAGGTTAACAGAATCACTGCTAAGTGTACTCTTATGTTATAGTTGTTTGTTTATTTATTTTAAAAGTTTTAGAGTTAAGGTTGTAACTTTTTTTTAAAGAAACCTAAATCAAAAACTTGTAGGTTAGTCATGGCCAGTAGTTCCTCTTAGTTCAAATTAAATTTAGTTTTAACGTCTTGTTAAATAAATTTAAAATGCGTGATAACAAGTCAAGTTTCTGTATAGTTTTGTATTTATTTTATAGATGTACCTCTTTTTTAAGGCCAAAGACGCTAAAACCAATTTAATTTGTTAAAATCATTGAACTGATACTGAAGTATATGGAAATTTGATCAATTTTTGTCATAAAAATAGCAATAAACTTAAGTAGCTCAATTTTTTTAAAATGGTTCAAGTTCCAAGTAATTTTGTTTCTTAACATGCGACAGCAACCAATTTTACAACTGGTAAATTTACTGATTTATTCAGGTACATTGTTTTTTTTTAACACGAGGCAGAAAAAGAAACATCTCACGCTTAAAGTGTCGCTTGTAAATAATGTGTCATAATTTAAGTTAATTGTCGAATACCATATAATTTTAAAGCAGGCATGTATTATAATGCTAATTGAAGCTGAAGCTTGATAATTCTTCATTTATTAGGGATAATCCCACTTGTTTTATACCTGTCAACAATTGGCTATGCTGCCAACTTCAATACAAAATAGGATGTTGCATGAATGTATGAACATTAACATTGATGTATTTTCATAAAAACCAAGTTAGAGGGCACATTATTGTTCGCATTTAGGGCAGACAGCAGCTAACGTCTTCTGACGTACAAAAAATCGTCACAGTTACACGTCTACATAACCTATTCGATGACGTGCAAATGACAGCGTCATTCTGAAGTCAGAATAAGACGTAAGAAGAGGACGCCAATTGCGGTAATGGATGTTCTGATGCAATCAAAAACCTAATGGTCTATGATTTGTTGAACAATCTGACAATTTTGAGCGCTCCAGCAAGGGTTGCCTCACTCGTTACGCTGCAATATCCTCTACAACTTGGAATAGTTTTTGTGTAAATACCTCATAAATATTTTTTCAAGTTCTTAAGCTTATTCCTATTGTGTTCACTCTTCAACTTGGCAGCATAACCATTCCATGAATGTTCATTGTATCACCATAAAATAAGTACAGATAACGATCAAAAACTAGATTGAGATGGTCATCTCGCAATGAGCTTATGAACTTATTCACCGATTATAATTTTCACAATCAGATGTTATTCTGATTACATTTTTGTACAGATTTTTAAAATCAAAGGCTCTTGTAGTCTTTTATATCTGTTTTTTAACAATGGGACTGTTTTTTGTTTTATTTATTATTATCCACCTATTAAGTAGGTAGGTACCTAGGAATTCTAGAGAACGATGCTTCTCTTTTTGTCATTGTCTGGGTACTGTTGGGTGAATTGGAAGTGGTAAGCCGGTCTTTCGATTCCGCACTCTACCAAAAGTGCCAATACCAAAGGTACCTACCAACTTTTGGTGGTATTGTACCTATTTGATTAAATAATAATTTTGTGTTCTCTCTCTGTAAGATAGGATGTAGAGTTATTATAGTTGTGTATATAATAAATATCCCTAGTTAGATTTAGTCTAAGTATGTTGTGTTGTGAACCATTTTGTTGTTGGTAAATTCTCTTTGGGCCTTATGCATATGTACATACAAAAAAAATATATAATTCAATTTTTTATCATGTCCAGTTTATAAGGCCAAACTTAATTTTGTTTTTGAACAATAATTGTTTTATGTCTCAAGGTGTACAAATTAAATAAAGTTTTAGAACTTTGAGTTGAGTGTTTTATTTTTTTAACCAGAAGGACTTCACAATGAGAGTTAAGAGAGCTTAGGTAGGCCTCTTGGGAACCTTTTTTTTTTCAGGAAAGATCTTTTGATGGAAGTGTGAACCTGGGACAGAATCTAGTAGGTATTATTGGAATAACTTTTTTCTGAAAGGAATTAACTGTATTTCTATATAAAACTATGTCATTTAATGTATTGAACTATGAAGAGGCTTGATGTAATGGCTAATTTGTACCAACATTGATCCAATGGTTTTTCAAATAGAATTTGCGATGGGTTCTTTTGTTAACTGAGGGTGCATAAGGTATAATTGGATTGTTTGGTCAGCAACCATTAGTCTTGCAACTGAAAAGCTTCAAAATGCAAATTATCGAACATTGAAAATTTGCCGAAAATAACATTGAGACAGTTTTTGCCTCACAGCTCCGTTAATTTTCATCCGATTTCAGTATATTTAGGCTCTAATTGAAGCCAAATAAATTCTTCACAAATCCAATACTGAAGATTCTAGCTTAATTTCAACAGTTTTACACCCGAGAAGCTTCAAACTTGAATTTATCGAACATTGAAAATTTTCCAAAAATGACACTGGGACAGTTTTTGCCTTACAGCTCCGTTAATTCTGATCCGATTTCAGTGTAATTACGCTCTAATTAAAGCCAGTTAAATTATCTACAAACCTGTTAATTAAGATTTCAATTTAGTTTCAACAGTTTTGCACCTGAGAAGCTTGAAAATTGAATTTTTCAAACATTGAAAATTTTCCAAAAATGACACTGAGACAGTTTTTGCCTCATAGCTCCGTTAATTTAAATCCGATTCCAATGTAATTAAGCTCTAATCAAAGCCAATTAAATTCTCCACGAACCTATCAATTCAGATTTTAATTTAGTTTCAACAGTTTTGCATCTGAGAAGCTTTAAAATTGAATTTATGGAACATTGAAAATTTTCCAAAAATAACAGATAATTTTAATTTTTTACCAGAAGGACTTGCACAATGTTCAGAGTTATGAAAGCTCAAGCAGGCTTCTTGGGAACCTTTTTTTTTCAGTAAAGATGGAAGTGTGGACCTGGGACAGAGTCTAGTATCATTGGAATAACTTTTCTTAAATAAGGAATTAACTGCATCACCATATAAATCTATGTCATTTAGATCCAGATTATTCATCTTCAGATAAACTTTCTAGTAACTATCTGCAAGATAAATTTACCGTTGTATTTTTCTATTGGTCGGTGGATAACTGGCCGACCAATGGGAAAAAAGATTGCGTTTTTATTCGTCAGATTTCATATCTGACTACAGTTTATCAGAAGATGAATTAACCGGCCCTCAATGTATTGAGCTATGAAGAGGCCTGATATAATGGCTAATTTCTACCAAGTTTGATCCATTGGTTTTTCAAATAGAATCTGCGATGGGTTTTTGTGTTAACTGAGGGTACATAAAGCTTAATTGGATTGTTTGGTCGGCAAACACGCAATTAAGTGCTATTCTGCCAGGGTTGGCAAAAATCCGGATTTTCGAAAATTTCTATTGGGTTTTTGCGGGTTATTGTGACAGTTTTTGTGTTTTTGAAGGGGTTTTTGTGTTTACTTAGCCAGACAAAATTGTATATTTGTTTCAACAGTTTTGCACCTGAGAAACTTCAACTAAATTTATTGAACATTGAAAATTTTCCAAAAATGACATTGAGACAGTTTTTGCCTCACAGCGCGGTTAATTTTTATTCGATTTCAGTATAGTTAAGCTCTAATCAAAGCCAATTAAATTCTCTACAAACCTAGCAATTCAGATTTTGATTTAGTTTCAATAGTTTTGCATCTAGAAGCTTTAAAATTGAATTTATGAACATTGAAAAATTTTCCAGAAATGACACCGAGACAGTTTTAATTTTTTTACCAGAAGGACTTGCACAATGTTTAGAGTTAAGAGAGCTTAAGCAGGCCTCTTGGGAACCTTTTCTTTCCAGTAAAAATGGAAGTTTGAACCTGGGACAGAATCTAGTATCATTGGAATAACTTTTCTACAGGAATTAGGTGCATCACCATATAAATCTATGTCATTTAGGTCCAGTTTATTCATCTTCAGATAAACTTGCTGGTATCTATCTGCAAGTTAAATTTACCGTTGTATTATTCTATTGGTCGGTGGATAACTGGCCGACCAATGAGATGGAAGATTGGGTTTTATTCGTCAGATTCTATATACAGTTTATCAGAAGATGAATAAACCGACTCTCAATGTATTGAGCTATGAAGAGGCCTGATATAATGGCTAATTTCTACCAAGTTTGTTCCAATGGTTTTCCAAATAGAATTTGCGATGGGTTCTTGTGTAAACTGAGGGTACATAAGGTTTAATTGGATTGTTTGGTCGGCAAACACGCAATAAAGTGCTATTCTGCCAGGGTTCGCAAAAACCTGGATTTTCGAAAATTTCTATTGGGTTTTTGCGGGTTATTGTTTTTGTGTTTTTGAAGGGGTTTTTGTGTGCCAGACAAAATTGTATATTTGTTTCAACAGTTTTGCACCTGAGAAACTTCAAAACTGAATTTATCAAACATTGAAAATTTTACAAAAATTATACTGACAGTTTTTGCCTCACAGCTTCGTTAATTTTCATCCGATTTCAGTGTAATTAGGCTCTAATCGAAGCCAATTAAATTCTCTACAAACCTATTAATTAGGATTTTAATTTAATTTCAACAGTTTTGCACCTGAGAACCTTCAAAATTGAATTTATCGAACATTGAAAATTTTCCAAAAATAACACTGAGACAGTTTTCGCCTCACAGCTCCTTTAATTTCAATCCGACTTCAAGATAATTAAGCTCTAATTAAAGTTAATTGAATGCTCTACAAACCAATTAATTAAGATTTTAATTTAATTTCAACAGTTTTGTACCTGAGAACCTTCAAAATTGAATTTATCGAACATTGAAAATTTACCAAAAATGACATTGAGACAGTTTTTGCCTCACAGCGTGGTTAATTTCCATTCGATTTCAGTGTAACTAAGCTCTAATTGAAGCCAATTAAATTATCTACAAACTTATTTTTTAAGATTTTAATTTAGTTCCACCAGTTTTGCATCTCAGAAGCTTCAAAATTGAATTTATCGAACATTGAAAATTTATCAAAACTGATATTGGGACCGTTTTTGCGTCACAGCTCCGTTAACTTTCATCCGATTTCAGTGTAATTAAGCTCTGATTAAAGCCAATTAAATTCAATGCAAACCCATCAGTTAAGATATCAATTTCGTTTCAACAGTTTTGCATCTGAGAAGCTTCAAAATTGAGTTTATCAAACATTAAAAATTTTCTAAAAATGGCATTGAGACAGTTTTTGCCTCACAGTTCCGTTAATTTTTATTCGATTTCAGTGTAATTAGGCTCTAATGAAGCCAATCAAATTCTCTACAAACCGAATAATTAGGATTTCCATTTGGGGTCAACAGTTTTGCTTCTGAGAAGCTTCAAAATTGAATTTATCAAACATTCAAAATGTTCCAAAAATGACACTGGGACAGTTTTTGGCTCACAGCTCTTTTAATTTTCATACGATTTCAACACAATTAGGCTCTAATTGAAGCCAATTAGAGTCTCTACAAACCTATTAATTAAGTTTTCAATTTGATTTCAACAGCTACGATAATTCTAATCCGATTCCAGTGTAGTTAAGCTTCAATTAAAACAAAAAATTAATTCTCTAGTAGCAACCCATTAATTGAGATTTTGATTTGGTTTCAATAGTATTGCACCTGAGAAGCTTCAAAATTTCTTTTATCAAACATTGAAAATTTTCCAAAACGACACTGAGACCGTTTTTGGCTCACAGCTTCGTTAATTTTGATGCGATTCCAGTGAAATTAGGCTCCCATTAAAGCCAATTAAATTCTCTACAAACCTGTTAATTAAGATTGAGTTTGCTATTAGTAATGTTCAGAAAAGTTCACATACTGAGAAGTGACCCATACAGTCAGAGTTTACAAATGATAAATCTGGTTGAAGGATTTCAGTCGATAGACTGTAATGGTTTCGTAGTGAATCAAAAATTATACTCACTTTAGCAAGTTGGTGATTATACCTATCTAGTACTTACCTACATACCAGCAAAAAGGATTTTTGTTTGGAGTCCACTGTAATCCAATTCACATATATTTGCATGTGTAATTTTCTCAATACCTAATCATATTACCAATATACATTTCATATATACTCCTGGACAAAATTATCGCACCACTGCTTATGGTGTTTATGTGCAGTAGTGGTGCGATAATTTTGTCAAGGAGTATATAAATTATTATGTATATTGATAATTCAATTTTGAAGGCCTAGGTAGGTTATTAAAAGAAATCCAATTTGTAAGATAAAAATTATAATGAAACAACAAAAATATATAACATATTTTACAATAAAAAACGTTATAGTAGGTACACGTCATATTTACAAACTTAAATACCTTAAACACCTTATAAATGATTGATCTGGAAAAATGTATAACATCAATATTTGAAAATAATGAATTATCATAATATTGTCGGTATAGTAGTACCTACCACAAAAGAAAATAATTTGCTAGTAAAATTTTTGTCTGGTATGGAGGATTATTGCTTGCTCAAAATCACAAGTATCCAAAGGAATCAACAAAAGCTAGAATAAAACCAGGAACAGGAGGATAATTCTGCCTAGAAATTTTTTTCTTGCGTGGTATTCAGCATGACTATTTCACCAGAGCGAATTATGAAAATAAACCGAAAACAGATTTCTTTAAAAACACTTATTATTATTAGTAAACAATGTACCCATCTAAAAAAAAAAAATATTTATTCATATATACAAAAATTACAATTATATTATAGTAGTTACTAGTTTGTGCGCTAGTTTTTCTATTTAGAGCAGAATCAGTTGGGACCTGGACCCTTTCAAGGTGAGACAATTTCAGGTGGTACTTTAGTTGTGTAGGTATGGTTTTGAAGAGATGGCAATTGAATGATTGCCTCATTTGCCAGTGATGACTTTGGCAGAAGATTGATGCGATTAACTTTTTATTTCACATTTTTGTGTGTCCAAGTTGATAACATGTAATTTTGCCAGCTGAATACTGATTTTATTGCAGGTGTAAAACACTCCTGTGAAATAGTCACTCATAATTTAGAACACCACTTGTGCCTGAATTATCACTTATAATTTAGGCTCGAGTGGTTTTTGGTAACAAAACTTTACATTAAAATTTCAAAATCTTAAAAATAACAGTCATATTATGTGTATTTGCCATGTTGAAAAGATTTGCAGATTAGGGTACCCATCAAGGGTTGTCCAGGAAATGTTTCAAAAAAAGAGCCTTTGTTTGGCTACAAAATGTAGAATTAAACTATTCATAAGTATATCACAAGAGGTGAATATTTTTTCGAATATATTTTGGAATTTTTGTGCTAGATTATAGTTATATTATTTTTACAGAAATTTTGATGAAAAATGTCAAAATATATTCTAAAAAAAAAAATATTTAGCTCCAGTGGTATATATCAAGATTACTGAGATGGTTTCTATTATATTTTCTGGTAGAATTTTTCCTGAATACATATTTTCAATTGAAACATCGGTCCCCAAATAGTTTGGATTCGATTTTAAATATATGAAAATGCATGTCAACAGCGAAATTTTGAACTATTTCAAACAACTGCTTCAGTATAATCTTGTTGTGATTAGTCAAAAAATCGTATTTGATTGGACAGAAACGGCTCGCCGTATATGATCAATGATATCAATCAATTTATAATTAATTCACTCCAACATATTCATTTTTTTGAATAGACTGATGAGTTTAACTTAAATTTGGCTTCGAACTTATTGCAGTTTTATTGAATACTTTTTAGGTGAACCCCTACCATGAAATTTGAGAGTCAAATTGTAGCCTAGGACTTGGCTCTAAACAACCCGTTTGGAGAGAGCACCTTACATAAGTTAATCGTTGTAAAATGATTAACCTGGTAGACTGATTTTGGTTTTCCTTGTTGCACTGACCAAGTGCAAGAACACCGGAACGCGCCATGATTTGACTCTCAGTATTCTACTTTGTCCCGCTGACTCATAAGATAAATTAAAGTTTTTCTGTGTCAGTTTAGCATGTGTCAATTTGACGGGCGACATTTAAGCATAAGCAAGAGACTATAAGTACAACTATTTCAGTACCGTAGATTTGGGCAGAATGTTTGTATGCAGACCACTAACCTAAACTCACCCAAAAAAAAATCCACATAACCTTAGCTAGCCCTCCTAAAGCATGCAAATAGGTGGACTAGCTACTTTTGGCCTTTGAGATATGTTAATTTACTTTAGTGAGTTTTTTTTAAAAGATTTATGACTAGAACTACCTCACAAACATGTGGACTAGCTATCAAGATGTGCTGAGTTGTCAAATTGCTGATATGTTTTAACAAATACAAAATTAAAATGTACTATTGCTCCCAGTTGTCCCAGCATTGAAATATCGCGAGCTGAGACAGTTGGGTTGTACCGCACTGAGTTGTTTCAGCGATGACTTGTCCTACGCCGAAATGCCGCGTGCCAAATTGACAGACACTGAATTGACACAGAGCCTAATTAAATAAATAAGACTATTTTCATTTGGTGACTGTGATTTCATTTAATCAGTAAGATTTCCTTCGCGGCTACTTTTTTTACTATGGCAAGACTCCGTATCGCAATCCTTCGAAGAATATCTGAAATAAAAAACCATTTAGTGTTAAAAATTTGGTTTGGGTTTGGATATAATTACTAATTTATTTTTGCTTATGGCCTACACTATGTCCTCGTGGTTACTGGAAAAACAAACATAATTTGTGTAAATAAATTAACCAATTTTGGGTCCTGATTAGTGTTGTAAAATGCTTGAGAATTTATTTTTGGAGAACGTTCTCCGAGCACGAACGAGAATGAACGAGAATAATAAGCATGAAAGAAAAAAAGTAATGGGAAATAATAAAAAATTAAAAAATATCTGCTTATAGTTGGTAGATCTATAAATAAAGTGTTTCTAGATGACGAAGCCATACTTTTTTCTAGACATTTTTCGTCTGATTCCCTGAAACCAAACCCTGCTAGTCAGCTGTCGACTGTTGGTAATTTTTCTCGATTCCCGGACCCCAGTGTTGGAGAATAAATGTTATATTTTATGCTAATTTTTATTAGGGAACGTTCTCCTTCGTGCTGATTCGTGCTTTTAACAAGATACATTCCCATTAAGTCTTGAACGTTCGCGATCGTTCGCAAACGTTCGTTGAGAATAAATGGGAACGTTCCATAAATTACAACACTAGTCCTGATTTTGTCTCTCTACTTTAAGTTTAATTTAAAGCCAAAATGTATGTACTTTGAAATAGTGCAACTAGTCTAATTTCACATGTGTGTGCAATCTGAGTGGCCTATATAAAAATATTTTAATTTATGCTTACATTATTTCCAAACTGGATTCACTGGTTTTCATGAAATGCTCTGGTTCTGATGATCCAGACCCTGAACCAACTTCAAGAAGCTCCTCTTTGTGTTCCTCATTTTCGCCTTCGTTTTCCTGATGAACACTGGACAATTGCCATGCCGGAATTGAAGGAGGCACAATTGGATTTGTCACTGATGGAAATTGTTTTCTAAAAGAGCACACTTTGAAAAAAAATATATTGGTTTTACTATTTTCAACTTACCTTGTTAACAAGAGTCCTTTCACTGTTGCTATATCAGACTCTAATCCTTTCAACTCTGACGCCAGCTCATTTTCTGAAGTAAACTTTATTTTATCTACCTCAGCTTTAACTTCCCCTAGGCTACTTTTTATATCCTTCATTGCACCTTCAATGTTCTTTTCTAAACTCTCTATTTTGTCTTCTATGGATTTTGTCTTAGTGCCAAACAAAAATGGTGCTATGTATGTATCATAAATTTTCTTGATCAGATAAGCCACAATACTAAACATGGCAACCCTATGAATGATGTCTGTGATTCTATCAAATAAACTAAGTCGCATTTGTCCATATTGGTTATAAGATGCTAGCATATTTTGAGATAATGGAGGTGGCATCTCAGGGGGTATAATTTGCTGTTTATCATGGTCATAAGCGCCTGATCTTTCACATGCAATTCTTATTTCATCTTCTGTTAGGCCTCTTTTTTGCAAAAATGTTTGTTTTTGTGACAAGGGGCTGGCTATTACTTTCGGATTTTGGAGGAATTTTATTGCTGTATCAATCTAAAACAAATAGGAATGTGTTTAATAAGGATCCTTGAGCCACACTAATTATTGGGACTTTGAGTTATTATTCAGTACATTGCTTTATACTGTGTAGTGTTTCAATTTATAATTAAATCATTTTCAAATAAATTTTTTGAAAACATTTTTTGTATTATTCTACAGCCTCGTTTTTGCTGTTGGGGGCTGCAATAATTTATTATTTGAATTTGAATAGAAGACGTTTTGAAATAAGGAGACAAAGAAAAGGCAAGCTAGCTCTTTTTAATTATTATTATTATTATCAATATAGCAATAGGAAGCGGTTAGTGTCCGATGAGTCTATTGCTTTAATTGTCTGGGTTTTGGTCTTATGTATGGAGAAGTTACAAATAATGCACTGTGGCATTATTCAACACTTCTAGGTTTTTGTCTAGTCTATTTTCAAATACATTTTTGTTAGGTGCACTTATAGTTTCTTCACCTAAAGAATTCCACTGGTATATGGAAATGGTTGCTCAGGAAATTCCTTCTTCCGAGCAGTAGGGCCATTTCTCTTTTTAATTTTTGGTGGTGTCCTCTGAGATTGCGGTTTTGATTTAAATTTAAATTGTACATATCTGATATCATAATGTCTCGCGAGTAGTAACCGCTGAGAATTTTGTAGGTCTCTATTAGGTCACCTCTTTCTCTTCGTTGCTTCAGTGTTAAATTAAAAATTGAATTTCTGTAGCCTGGTCTCTTAAGGTAAGTGTCTAATCTCAAGTGGAATTTTAGTTATTCTACATTGCACTCGCTCCAAAAGTTCGATGTCTTTAATATAGTAAGTGTTCCACACTGTATGGCCATATTCTAGCTTGGGTCTGATGTAAGTAGTATAAAGCTTCTTTATCATGCTAATGGAGTGGTTTGCAAAGGCTAGTTTCATCAAGTAGGACATCTGATTGGCCGTTTTTACTATGTGTCCTATATGTGTTTCCCATTTTAGATCGTTAGTTACATATACACCTAGGTCCTTCTGTTCTTTTACATTTTTTAATTCTATGTTGTTGATTTTGTACTGAATCATTGAGTTTTTGCGACCTATATGGAGCACTGTGCATTTTGCCTTGTTGAGCTTGAGTTGCCAGGTGCTTGTCCATTGCTCTATTGTTTGCAGATCTTTTTTTGTCATCTGCAAAGGCTTCAATGTTTGTTCTAATGCTTTTTGCCAGGTCTGCTATGTAGATCAAAAAGAAAATGGAAGCTATGACCGATCCTTGTGGTACTCCACTTGTGACTCTGTAGAGGTCTGAGTATGTTCCATTTGTTCTTACTTGGAAATGTCTCTCGTTGATAAAGTTCTTGCTCCACCGTAGGTAGAGGCCTTGGATTCCACAGTGATCCAGTTTGTATAACAGCCTTTCATGAGGGACAGTATCAAATGCTTTTTGGAAATCCAAGTATAGTATATCCACTGGGTTTCCCTCATCAATTTCTTTAGTCCATGCAATTAAGTAGATTTGTGGTAGTAGATATTGTCAACTAGCTGCTTAGGAAAGGAGGACCCGGTATTCAACCTTATTAATTTAATTGCCGATTCGATCGAATGTTTATTGCAATTCAGCAATAAATTAATATAAATTGCGCTGCAAGCCGCAGCAAAGGCAGACTTAAACCAGTGCAAGTACCTCTCGTTGGAAAAGCCCCTCTGGAATTAAGTCTCCCCAGTGCAAGTACCTCTCGTTGGGAACGCCCCTCTGGGTATCTTCAGCCTTATCGTTGTCCAGTGCAATTACCTCTCGTTGGGAACGCCCCTCTGGACAAGGCATAAGGGTGACGATAAACTAATCTACAGTCCTCCAAGCAGCATTGACGTGTGGCTCCCTATAAGGACCCCAGTGTTCGAAGGGTCACGTATCTTATAGGATTAGCATACATGTAAGGTTATATTTGGGAAAATATATAGCATATATTTTTATATAACCTGAGCGAGTTTCTCTCCATCTACCCCCAAAGCTACAAACCCCCCATGTCACCCCCGTAAAGCGGGTAGTTGTGACAATATACTTGGTAGAAAGCTGTGCTGTGTGGATGGTATAATATGTGTGTCTAGGAGGAACATGGTAATTTCTTTGACAATAATTTTTTTCCAATAATTTACAGGCTAATTGGTCTATAGTTAGCCAGATTATACTTGTCGCCGCTTTTGTAAATTGGTATTACAATTGCTCGGGTCCATATTTCTGGTAGGATACCCTCTGCAAGGGAACTGTTAAATAGTGATTTTATAAGTAGTGTTATGGATGGTGCACAATTTTTCAGAAATACTGCAGGTATTTCATCTGGTCCTGGACTGGAGTGAGTTTTCAGGTCTTTTAAAGCTTCGGTGACCACTTCAGTGGGTATGATTATGTTTTTTAATTGGTCTTTGCTTCGTGTTTGTTGCGGCAACGAAGGAAAGTTGGATAAGGATTCATTTGTGAAGACTGATTTGCTGACTGACTTGCAAAGATATCTGCAGTGTTTTTTGGGTCCCTCGATATCTGTTGGATCCTTAATTACGAGATCATGAAGCTGGCTACTTAGATTTCTCTTTATGTAGGAGTAGAAATGTTTATCGTTCTTTTCCAGGATATCCTGTTCATATTTAAGACGTGCTTCAGTTATAAATGATTTTAGTTTGTTGTTGTGCGTCCTGTATATTTTATACTGTGCATCCGTTTTATTTCTTATGTATTTGGTCCACAATTCTCTTTTTTTATCAATTTCTCTTTCTGTACGTTTGTTCTGCATATTATTCCAATTGCTGTCGTGAGAATATCTTCGAAGACTTGGTAGTTACTTACTGTTGTTTTGATTCTGATTGTTTTATTTCTTATATGATCATTAACTGGTTCGTAGTTGTCTATGTAGAATTTTATTTTTTTTATTTATTTTTTGTAGGCTGTTTGTTGAGCTGCATTGTTGCAGCAATGAGGTTGTGGTCACTCTTGCCAAAAGGTGGTCTAGATTCTATGATAGACATCATCTCTTTGTCACTTGATAAGTAAGATCCAAAAGGGAGCTCTGATTGTTTCTAAATCTGGTGTCGAAGGAGATTAGTTGGTGGCATCTCCATTCCTTTTAACATGTCAGGAATTTGTTGGCTTTTTTGGCAAGGTTTATTCAGAATAAGAGTGGTCTTCTCTTATTCTGATCATATCTTCCCAATCTTGAGACTGTAATGCTCTCCAGATTTGAATCTGTCTCAATCATATTAATTATTCTTTTGGCTTCTTGAATTTCTTTCGCAATTCTCTCCTTGTAGGTTTCTGCTTCTGCTTCTTTCATCCCAAAAATCAGAATGTTTCTTGATCTTTTCTCACTTTCTTGTACCTCAGAGATTAAGATAAGATAAGATAATTTGGTTTTGATTGTTAGTTCCACGCCTGGGTTATTTTTCTCCTTTTGTTGTTCTTCCTTGGAAACATGCTCAAAATCATAATTTTTTTTCTTATGGCTGTAATATCAGCATATGATGGCGCCCTAGCAGCGTCTTGCTTCAGTTGTTTTAAGGCATTTTGGGTTTCTTTTATGGTGTTTTCTAGTTCTTCTGTTTTTTCAGGAATGTGCTTTAGGGTCTTAAGTGGTTCTAGTTGACTAACGAAGCTTTCGAGGCTTGCTACTTTGTCTTTAAGTAATTTCATTTCTGTACCCAATTGTTTTTTCATAGCAGGAATTTTCTTGAAAAGTTTGATACAATCTGGACAAACATAGAATATAACTCGTTCCTTCAGTTCAATAAAACGTATTTCTGTAGCTGACCATTTTTCGCACAGTTCGCATGATATTATTTTGCAGATATCACATGGTGATGCAAATGATAGGGTTTTCTCTAACGGATTCCCGATAATTAACCGTTGAAATGTGAAGCTCAATGTGAAGATAGATCCTAAAGCATATCAAACTTATTTGAGGCTAGTTTACGAGCACCTTACCATTGAAGGCTCAAAAAGATAATAACATGAGAAAATATTGTCAGTGCTGAATAGATATTTCAATAAAAACAATAATGACTGCTTATAGACTGAATGATACAGTGCATTTGCTTGCCACAAGTAAGGCAGAAACTGAACAAACAATAGACTTAAAATCCATAGGTAGCAATTGTAAATTGTAATTAAACAATTTTTTGTAACCTTGACAGGCCACTCTATTGGGTAGACAGTGTAATGTTTAACTCAAGGGATATAAACTAGATAAAAATACCTTTAAAATACGGTATCAAACGAACCCCTTTCAATTTAAAATTTTGGGGCTAATTATCGCCCCCATTAGAGGTTGACATTCAGGGAATTAAACTAAAAAAAAAATAAGTTTCCCTCTATAGTCAGAAATGAGGATTTCCGGCGTTGTTTCTCAGAGAACCTTGGGTGCTCAATACTGGCCTTGTTTTGTTTTCAAATAGCGACCCCTGTAAGGTTCTAAGTTTTTGAACAATGAATAGTAAATTGTTTTTAACTCAAGCATACATTGACTCCTAATTATTTTATGTGATGCTAACTGCCAATTAATTATTAAGCCGTAGAACTAAAATTGAAATTGTTGGAATTTTACGGTTAGCATTTTTTATGGAATAAAAACATTGGTAAATTACTTAGAGTCAAAGTGCAAAAATCAAATGAAAGGAACTTACCAAATCTTCTCTAATAGAGGGACTTTGGGAAACGTTTTCATGGGGTTCCTGATCATTATTTTGCTCCATTATCAGACAGAATTGACTCTCTTTTCATGGACCAGACCTGAGGGATATCATTTAGTTTGTATAATTATGAATTTATGGAGCTTCAAGATACTCACTCAGGAGAATATTTTTTAAAAAAATATCACAGAATTCACAAATTAGATTTACTGTACTTTAGACTAGACACCAGACACGCAGGCTTGCAATTTTTCCGAAATTTATTATTTTGAAATTTTGACTTTGACCTGACGTCAATTTCATATTGTCAGTTCACCACGGAAAGGCGCTTTCTTTTATTAGTTGTATTCCTTTCACACCTAGGAGGAGCTCCGGAGCAGCTCCGGGGCTCCACGCGCTTATTCCTTTCGAAAAGTGTTTGTTACACCACGCATCTGCTCCCTGTAAATCGGGGGCGACTAACCACCGAAGCGAGCAGATCGAGTGTTCCAAACTCTTGAAAGGAATACAACTATTGAGCAATGGATCTCAAGGATGAAGTGATTTTGGGTTGGATTCTATTGAAAGCAATTTTTGAACCAATCTGCTCGATTTATGCGTTCCGTGCGTTCGGTATTGTGATCTGAGTTCTCCGAGCTTGAATTTACCGTTCGTTTATTTAAAAAGTGTACTCGGTGCAGGCTCATTTGCGTTTGTTTATTAAAATTTCGGGCACTGGGATACAACGTTCAACTGCTCTGTTCGCTCGCTGGTCCCGTGATTACGGCTCCGCTCAGCACGCTCTGCTCTTCGAGCAAAATACCGAAAGCAAGGATTGTAGAGGTCCTTTCCAACCCGACAAAGAACTGTCCCAAGAACGGTTCCGGAACCACTTTGTATACGAATTTCGGAATCTAAGTATAAATTATAAATTTTGGGCAGAATCCTGACGGTGAAATGTATGGGTTCCGTGATGGATTGGAACGGAACAAATTTTTTAGAGCCCGTCTGGAACGTAAATCGTGTTCCTGTTTAATAAGCAGGCGCAAACTTCGAACTATTCTAGTATTGAACATCAAAAACGAATGCATATCACGGAACGAGCTATTCTTAAAGAATGCTTATCAGAACTGACAATTTACCGTGCTCTGTTAAACCTAAAGCTTCGTACAGATTTGTACACTAGGCCGAACAATAAACAGAACAATGAACCGAACGACGATCGAAACAATTAAATTGGCTGGGGCTACGAACCGGTTCGCAAATCCTGTCCATTTCGTTGCTCCGTCCAAATAAGTGTTTCGATTGTCGTTCGGCGTAATGTTCAAGTCTGTACGAATCTTCAGGGTCTGTTCGAACACATCGCATGTCAAAAACCTTCCCATGAACCAAAACCACTCTGTATACGACTTTCGGATTTTACGCGCAAAATTTAGGGTTTGCGCAGAATCGTGACTGTAAATTTTACGGTGTCCTGCTGTGTTTGAGCCTTTGAATATAAAACTACAGGAAGGAGAATAACTTCGAATCTGCGCGACCAAAATATGTGGAGGTTGCATATGGCCAACTAGTATTTCCGGTTTGGCGGTGGCGTATATTTATTTAAATATGATTGTCAATATTATGAATCACTCTTTTCTCACTAATTCCAGTACTTATCATCATTTAAAACCGCTAAAATCCATTAAACATCCACTTAAATGAGGACACAAGGAACCACCAAAACAAATGATGAGTCCAAACTTGGAGGCTCAATATGGCCGTTTCCGTCCCTTCGTTGTCTGTAGTGACAGATAGAAAACGCTCCTTCCTGTAGTTTTATATTCAAAGGTTTAAGCAAAGCTCCTGAATGATCGGGTTAGTTTTGCTCCAACACAGCAAAATACCAACATACACGAGTCTGCGAAAAACCTAAAATTTATCGCGTAGATCCGAAAACCAGAGCAGTTTTTGAAACCGTTCATGGGACGTTTGGTAACGAATTGGAGCAGAGCTATGGGCACTATAGTGGTATTTTTTTTCTCCGTTGGTAACACAAGTGCGCACTGAGTGCACTAATACATTCCATTGGTAAAACCAAATTTTTTTTTCCATTGGAAAATCAGGGCAACAATCTTTGTAACGAGTGCAGCTGTATCGACACGAGCTCTTGGCTCTTGGAGGTTGTGCGACTGGAGCAGCAGTGAAAATTAAAACCGAATTTTCGCGACGAATGTAGTTCATCCAAGGACGAACTATAGTTCATCTGTGACGTCATGAGTTTGATCGCTAGCTAGAAGCTGCGTCCATGCTTCCGTCGAACTACGTTCAAATTGACGTCATGAGTTTCTCGCCAAAGCGTTTGTGTTCATGAAATCATGTAAGTAGTTCGTCGCGAAAATTCGGTTTAAGACGAATGATTAATTCCTGAAAGAAATCAAAATCTAATTTTCAAATAGTTTCTGGTACATTCGCAAAGGCTTTTATGTCCTTTTAGGTTATTAACCAAAGTAAGCATAACAATAATAGATCTGTTTCTGCCGAAATCACAAACCAGTCAGAGTGAATTTCATTGGTTGAAACTAGTTTTCTGACTGTTTTTAACCAATGAAATTCGCTCTGACTGGTTTGTCATTTCTGCAGAAACAAACTTAATAATAAACTGACCTAACAGCCTAACATTCAAAATCAAAACTCACTGCAAAAAATTTGTATTCTTGGGATTGTTACACTAGAGCATCATTTTGACTGATCAGAGTCGCTTACCAGTGACCCACTTTAAGCCTAGTACTCATAACTGCAAATTTCGCATTTTTTTGACATTGCTTCGACAATTTGACGTTTGATTCACGCATAAAACGTCAATTTGTCGAAGCAATGCCAAAAAAGTGCGAATTTCGGAGTTATAAGTACTAGGCTTTAAGCACTCGGGAAGATTCTAAAGTTACGATTCGACACTCGACTCGACAACAATATGCAACTCGATACCGGCCCTGTAGTCTCGAAACGTATGTTTCTAGTGAGATTTCAACCTACGATCGGCGGAAAAATCGTCTCGTTGTCCAGTCGTGTGTCGAATCGTGATTTTAGAATCCCCGGCCTGAGCTGCTCTAGAGCGCCCCAGGCTGTTTATAAGCGTTCCAGTACTACAGAGTTTCGCGCAACTGAACTGTTCGTTTTTCCTCTCCCCTACCCTCTCAAAGACCTGTAATTTTATGGATGCATCAAAAACACGACGCCCAAAGTAGGGTGTGTCCCAGTTAGCACCAGAGTATGAAGCTATGGGTGTGGAGCACCTTAATGCCTCATTCTCACTTGCGCAAAATTCGTTCTTTTTACGCGAAAATCGCTCTTTTTTTGACATTGCTTCGACAATTTGACGTTTTATGCGTGTATCAAACGTCAAATTGTCGGAGCAATGTCAAAAAGGAGCGAATTTCGCTTTAAAATCGTCACTGGAAAGCGGCTCTGGTTAAGTGTAGTGAAGGGCGTATCGATACGATATAATAGGCCTATTCGGGTTTGGAAAAAGGACGGTTCTAGAACGGTTCAAAACAATCGTCCAGTTTATTGATCAACAAAATAACAACGACTCGACTATCACAAATTTCAATAATAAACTGTGCGATTCTTCTGGACCGTTCTAGAACCGTACTTTTTCCAAACCCGAATAGGCCTAAACGATATCGATAAGCTTTCGTTAATGTTACAATCGGTACGTTCACTGGAGGGCTGCGTTCAAAAACGGTTAAAGCCAAGCCAAAATTGGCATATTGCGTTCAAGTTCGGCTCCAGCGTGCGAAAAACGGTTGGCTTTAAACGTTCAAAATCGGCCGCGGTAAAGTAACTTTTGGAGGTGCTTTCAACTGAGTCTAGAAATGGTTATACGAATTTTGATTGGGTGAGTGGGGTCTGTCACTTTTGGCACAAATAACAACACATAAATAATACAATACAAAAAGCTTCTAGAAAGGAAGTGGAAGTGGTGAATAGATATACTAACGCTGACGATCTGAAAACGAAAAATTCAATATAGCGTGGCGGCCAGTAGGCTAGTTTTGAATATGTATGTTTTCATCCATATTTCAATTATTTTGCTTCGAGTCCTAAGGGCGGGTATTATAAAACTGCTTTGACAGTTAACTTGAAGTTAACTTTTTGAAATACATGTAATTCCAGAAGTTTACTTTAAGTTAACTCTCAAAGTAGTTTTATAATACCCGCCCTAAGTCGGGCAGAAACTAGATATTTTTGAGTGTTTTTTGGTCCATGTGTGGCTGCCACGCCATCTTGAATACCACAGGCCTCTTGCACGTATTTTAATTTTTATCTGAAAACTTCTTAAATACCTTCTTAAACACAATAAATAACCCTCCATAATATTTTTTTCCAAAAAAAACTTCTAATTACCCAATTTATTAATTAACAAACTTCGGCCGCACTTTTCTAATTTGACGTCATAGGAAAAAGCTACGCCATTAATTGTGACGTCACGAGGTATGAACCGAGACGGCTGGCCTTAGCCGCCATACGTTTTATTATTATATTATATATACTCCTGGACAAAATTATCGCACAACTGCTTATGGTGCTTATGTGCAGTGGTGGTGCGATAATTTTGTCCAGGAGTATATTTAAATTAAATTTTTAATCCAACACAACTTTACAAATCTCAATATGTACTTACATCAAAATGGTCTTCACATAGGTAAACATGACTTTGTAATGAGATATCTTTAGGCTGCCATCTCATGGCTTCTAGCCATATTTTTCATTGTTTTTCTTCCATAGGTAGCTTTATAAAAGTTTTTCCAGGAGTGGAAATTGTTGTACTTCTACATCCTGGCACAATACAATACCGATAAACCATTGCAACTCAAAAATAATTTAAAACTTCGTCAAAAAATGTAAGGTTCATAAGAATCATGAGAACGTTAAAACAAAATAATACCTCGTGACGTCACTGACAGCTGAAATATCAAGGCTACGTTTTTAGCGGGAAATTAGCCAGTTTGAATTTTAATTATTTATTACGACCTTAATATTCCACGTATTTTGAAAATATTTTGGAAGGATACTATTTGAGTCTAATTAATCATTTTCATACAATAAAAAAAATATCTGCAAGGACCCTATTGAGAAACGGTATTTGGCGTTCCAGCAAATTCACACCTGATTTGGCATCGCCGGTAGAAGGGGAAAACTAGGTTTTGGCATTCATTGCTGTCTTTAGCCGCTTTCCAGCTGACGCTTTTGAGCACGCAATCGAGCTTTTGCGCGCGCAAATGCTTCAAGCGCGTGTTCGTGTTCCAGCCGTACTGCACTTCGAGAGCTGCTAACTTTTGCGTTTTAAACACAGAACATTAGCTGCTTACGATTAAGCACTTTTCTTACCTAAGTTAAAGTTAGTTTCTTAGCTGAGCTAAGTTGTTTGATCGTACGCGCAATTCATATAGGCTGATCAGCTGCCTATCAAGTTACGACTCACGTCACGTATTTCTAGTTCGGGTTCTAGTTACGACGAGAGTTTCAGGTTCAGTTTGTTGTTTTTATTAATTTATTTTCAATTGAAATTGAAACTGAATTGTTTTTGTACTACAGCACGGTTTATTTCACATTAAAAATGAACAATTATCTACCTAGAAGTGTCATGACGAGTGCAATGGCAATAATGAATAATAAATTTCATTAAACTAAACACCTTTTCAAAGTTCCTGTTCCAACGACCAACTTTCAACAAAATAAAAATAAAGAAACAACCTCAATTTAGAAATTATTAAACGTCAAAATTAAAAAAATGCGTACTTCGCGCCCACTTAGGTCAGGTAAGTTATCTCAGTTAAAAATCCGGGTGTCTTAGCAGGGGAAAGGGGGGAAGGCAGATTCTAACTTAGTTGTGAGTGATAGATCGTACGCGCAACTAAGTTAGATTCTTTAAGTTAGGTAAGAAAAGTGCTTGATCGTAAGCAGCTATTGTGCTGCACAGTGCTTGAAGCACACAGCTGGAAAGCGGCTTTTGAACGCACTCCAGCACTCAATTGTTGCCAACAGTTGAGTAGTTGGGAAAACAATCGCGTTCAGCGGCGCTCAGGAAAAGCCGCTTTTTGTCAGCTGCTGCCGATTTCTCTAAGCGGTAAAAGTTTAGGTTTACAATTCAACTTATGCTTTAGACATGCGCAGAAGTGTCGGGCGTTCAGGAAATTTACATCCGCTGTATCTCAACTGTCCTCAACTGCTTTATGCTGCAAGTTAGCTGCTGAGTACTGGTGAATGTACCCTGCTGAGTTCTGCTTTGCACTCCATGGAGCGGAAAGGTATGAGCATGGATTTCGTGACGTCATACGCAGAGCGCGCTCTGAACAAGGTCATAAGCCGAACGCAGATCGAAAAAAAATTTGTAACCCTCGTCACAGAGGTTGTCACTAATCTCAAAAAAAAAGTTTTGTTGTGATTTTAATTTTATTTTGATAGTAAACAATAAACGAGTAGGTAAATTAGTAATGGACCTGAAATAAAAGTACAAGAGAAATCTGGGGAAAAAGCCGGAAACGCAAACCGAATTAATTTTTTTTGACAATATTTTAGGTTTTAATTTTCCAAAGGTGACAGTTGATAACTAATTTTTCTGGTTCTCCACCCATCTATAGCCTAGTACTCATAACTGCGAAATTCGCATTTTTTTGACATTGCGTTGACAATTTGACGTTTTATGCGTGTGTCAAACGTCAAATTGTCGAAGCAATGTCAAAAAAATGCGAATTTCGCAGTTATGAGTACTAGGCTTAAAGCTAGTACTCATAACTGCGAAATTCGCACTTTTTTGACATTGCTTCGACAATTTGACGTTTGATTCACGCATAAAACGTCAATTTGTCGAAGCAATGTGAAAAAAGTGTGAATTTCGCAGTTATGAGTACTAGGCTTTATCCCAGGGAGAAGGAAGCGATCTCAGGGTACGTGCCCGATTGTAACCCGAATAGAAAAGAGAACACTCTGAGAGCTAAAACGAACATAATTTATCGTTTCGAGCGCGCTCGGAGTTTACCGAAATCAACCTTTGTATACGAATATCGGATTCTACACTAAAATATTAGGTTTTGAGCAGAATTAGTGATGGGAAATTGTACGGTATCTTGCTGTGTTGGAACAAAGCTCTTGAAATGTCGAAATTACATTCTGTTGTTCAAGTTTTTGATTACAATAGGCAATTTTTCGCGAGGATAATCAAACATAATCTGATTATGCTCAGATTTTATGTGTCAATCGTGTGTGTACTCCCTTAAGTCCCTCTCCATCAAATTCTGGGCCTGCGAGTGACGTCACTATCAGCATCTTATAGTGATGACGTCACCCGCAGACCTTGATGGAATGTTTGTGATTCAGGCTGTGCTAGTGAGTTAATTTTTTCATTGATACCGAAGATACCGCGTCTCACCTTATGACGTCACGAGAGCTCAAGCGTCGCACGAGTCAGTGAAGTGCATTAAATTTACATTGTTTTTCCTGCGCTACCTGCAATAATCTAAACACAAACTACTAACGCGTGCCGGTAACAATCAAATGAACAATGCGGCGCGCGGCTTGCCGAAGCTCTCGTGACGTCACACATACTTTAAGACGGTATATCTCAGCGATAATTTAACGTAGAATAACGAGGTGTGACCAGTTATTCTTAGATTTTTTTACACTAAAAGTTCAATTTTTGGCGCATACCCACTTTAAGAGCTTTTAGTAGGGACCAGTGAATTCCGATCTACTATTGATATCTGCTTGAAGTAAGAAAAGCCGTACAAGCAGATGAACACCCTATACCAATCATTATCGATAATCAAAAATCAAACTATTGATAATAATCGATGATGTTCAGTGATAGTTCTAAAAGTGGCCGTGTTTGTTGTATTAGTTGTATTCCTTTCACACCTGGGAGGAGCTCTGGAACAGCTCTGGGGCGTTACGCGCTTATTCCTTTCGAAAATTGTTTGTTGCATCTGAGTGTCAAGCCCGACTCAAACCATTTAAATGCATGATAGCCAGCGCATCTGTTCCTTTCAAATCAGGGTCGAGTAACACCGTAGCGAGTAGCTGTGTTTCAAATTCTTGAAAGGAATACAACTATTCTGTCGCAAGTATCGATATATTCTCATATTGTTATTGATATGAACAAAAAGTATATGCTTTGCAAGAATAACGTATCGATACGTCTGTTCGAGTCGAGTGTAGCACTGGATTGGCCAATGGAAAACGCTAAGGTATTTGCGCTGCACCAAGAGGCGTGCCGCGTGGGCTATGGGCAGCCATTTTGAAATTATACCTCAGGTAGTTTCCGGTTTTTTTTTGCTGCCAAAAGTGAATTTTCTTTTCGGAAAAGTGGAAAGATCAGGAGAAAATAAGTGCAGCTAATTGATTGGAAATATGGCTCGATACGGACAGCGACCAGAAAATGCACTTAAACGTGCCAACGGTAAGTAAATTATTTATGACAGGCATATGGAAATTCTAAGTTTATCTTTAATTATCCAATCCTTCGATAAAACTTGAAAATTATTTTTATTGTAGAATTCATCGAGGTTGGTAAGCCGGCCAGAGCTCTAGATACTTTGCAAGAGGTTTTCAGAAATAAGAAATGGGCTTACAACTGGTCAGAATCGGTCCTAGAACCGATCATGTTCAAGTATTTAGATCTTTGTGTGGAGCTAAAGAAGTCCCACATCGCTAAAGAAGGTCTGTTTCAATACAGGAACATGTTCCAGTCTGTAAACGTTGGGTCGTTGGAAAATGTCATAAGAGGTTATTTGAGAATGGCTGAGGAGAGAACAGAAAATGCTAGAGAGCAATCAGCCCAAGCTGTAATAGATATTGATGATTTGGACAATCTGGCAACTCCAGAAAGTATCCTTTTAAGTGCAGTATCTGGTGAAGATGCCCAAGATCGTTCTGATCGTACTATTTTAACCCCATGGGTAAAATTCCTGTGGGAATCATACTGCCAGTGCTTAGAACTTTTAAGAACTAATGCACACGTAGAGCATCTGTATCATGATATTGCCAGGATGGCTTTCCAGTTTTGTCTCAAGTACAATAGGAAAACTGAATTTAGGAAGCTGTGCGACAAACTCAGGAAGCATTTAGAAGATATTTGCAAATTACCTGCTCAGGTAGCCAATGTTTCTATGTCAAAGCTTGAAACCCAACAGTTGAATCTTGAGACAAGACTTCATCAGCTCGATTATGCTATTCAGATGGAATTATGGCAAGAAGCGTACAAAGCAATCGAGGATATCAATAATTTGATGAACCTCTCCAAGAAAATGCCAGTTCCTAAAACCATGGCTAATTATTACCAAAAACTTGCCATGGTATTCTGGAAAGCTGGAAATAATTTATTTCACGCAGCTGCCTTGTTCAAATTGTTGCAGCTTAGCAAGGAAATGAAAAAGAATATCACTCCGGAAGAACTGCAGAAGATGGCTTGCAGGTAAATATCAATAATAGTTGAATTTATTTATTTTGTAATACACTTACAGAGTTTTTTCAAATCCTAAATGCTTGATATTTGAATTCTATTTTTTTTGTTTTAGTTGAAAATTATAGTTATCTACTTTAACTTATAGAAAATAGAAGAAAAAAATTAGAAAATGTATTTACCTTTCTCATATTGCAACTTACAACAACAAAAGGGGATAGTGAGTACCTACATAATAAGGTGTACTAAGGTTCAAAATCATGTGAAGTTGGTGGTAATTGACCTATGTACCTCTCAGTAAATCAATGACCAATTTCAATTTGTACTCTATTTTATTGAACAATTTCCAAAATATTTCCATTTCAAAAATTCGAAATGTGTATTATTATGTATTATTTCATATTTTCCTTTTATTATGTATGATAATTTGATTAGGTTCCATATCCTTGGCACCAGTGAAGTTAATACTGTAGGATTTATAATGTAATGATAGAAATGCATAAAGGTCGCTCCTAAAGTTACCTGGTCAGGGATAGGCATAGCAACTATATTATATATTTTTCCAGGGTTCTTCTTGCTACTCTGTCCATACCACTACCCTCGGCACATCCTGAATTTGATAGATTTATTGAGACAGACAAGTCTCCTTTGGAAAAGGCTCAAAGATTGGCTATTCTGCTTGGTTTGACACAGCCACCAACTAGAGCAAGTTTACTGAAGGACTTGGTAAGTGATTTTATGAATTAATAAATAATAGGGTTTTATTGTTTTTTTTTGCTAATACTAATGAAATTTATGTTTGTAAACTTCTTCTATGTAGGTACTAACCATTAATATTCTTCAGAAAAAAAGTGATTAGTTTTTATCAAATATCTGTAGAAGCAATGCCAATTGCCAAACTGATTGTGTGAAGTGTTTTGTAAACTATATTTTGATCTATCGTTTGTTTTCATTTTTTTCCAATTGTGTGATAATTATCATGACATATTCAAACAATTGTTATCGAGGGGTGGTCAAACTCCTTAAAATACACAGATTTTAAATATTTATTGTTTGGTAGGATTTTGAGGATTTTGAAAATCTTCACATGATTTTACAGGATTTCAGAAGATTTTAGATTTTGTAGATTTTAGGTGATTTTGGAGCATTTTAGGGGATTTTGAAGGGTTTCTAGAGACTCTAAAGGATTTTTTGAGATTTTAGCGGATTTTTGAGGATTTTCGGAAATTTTCTAAGATCTGCCGTTATAATATATTGAGCTGGATTCAAGGCTGAATTAGGTAGTTAGTTTGAGTTGATAGATCAAGCTTTTGTGATTTTATGATAAATAAACTCCAAAATAATATACTGTATATTACAGTTTACAGTAAAAGTATTCAGAAGCTGAAGATTCATAGTGTTTTTTCCTCAAGTGTTTCCTAATATAATTTGCGGGGTTTTGTTGAATTTTTTAGGATTCCAAAGGTTTTTAGGGATTTTAACTGAATCTTGAGAGATTTTTTCGCATTTTGATCAACTTGTTCATGGATTTTGACGAGTTAACCGCCCCTTGATTGTTATTGTTTCAGTTATTTTCAATAGATTTCTAACACAATTTTATTTATAGATCCGTGTGAACGTCATAAACCTTGCTACTACCCAGCTTCAAGATTTGTACAATTGCTTAGAAGTTGATTTTGATCCTCTAAATTTGTGCCCGCGAGTGAACACCGTTATTGATTACATCCAAACAGACGAGAATGGTACTGCATTGCAACAATACATTGTGGCATTGCAGGATGTCACCCTTGTTCGTTTGGTTAGGCAGGTGGCACAAGTCTATCAGACCATTGAATTTGCAAGATTCTTGGAATTAGGTAAATTTGCTACCCCTTTTCATCTTGAAAGACTTTTGGTCGATTGTGTAAGACATAATGATATGCAGATAAGAATAGATCATGGAAAGCAGTGCATTCATTTTGGCATTGATTTGAGTGAAAGTCAAAGGGAAGATAGGCCAGAAGGACCTACTTTACAGAGTATGCCTAGTGAGCAAGTGAGAAATCAACTTGTTAACATGTCATGCGTTTTGAATAGGGCTATTTATGTTATAAATCCAAACAAAAAACGGGTAAGATTAGTTAATAACACTGTAATATGTATTTGGTTATTTAATGTATTTGATTTAGGGTGAACGTGAAAGATTGAGAACCATTATGGTACAGAACTACCATGAGAATAAGGTGAAGGAGCATCACAAGATCCTCCAAAGACATAAAATCATTGAGGACAGAAAAGAGTACATTGAAAGGTTAAACACTGTTCGTGAAGAGGAAGAGCAAAAACGAGTGGAAGAAATTCAGCGGCAGCAGCAAATGCTTGAACAGAAACGGTTGGACGAAGAAAGACAAGAACGCGAGAAAAAGCGTCAACAGAATGAAATTGAACAAATCAAACATAGACATTTACAGGAAAAATTACAACAGATCAGTCAAACTGGACATGGGCAAAAGATTCTTAAGAAAATGGATGAAGATGATATCAAGAATTTGGATGCTGATCAAATTGCTGCCAAGGAAGCTGAAGAACTCCAAAAGGAGCGACGTGAACTGCAAGCCAAGTTAAAGTCACAAGAAAAGAAGGTGGATTACTTTGAACGTGCCAAACGTCTAGAAGAAATTCCTCTATTGCAAGAAAGTCTTGTAGATAGGCAGCTTCAAGACCAGACCTTCTGGGAGCAACAAGAAAAGGAACGAATTGCATTTGCTATTGAGGAACGCAAACTGGCAGTCTCCACAAGAGATAGGTTGATTAGGATAAAACCTGATAAGGTTAATATTTATTAGATTTTTTTTTTAACTATTTCCAAATGCGGAATTCTTTATGAAAAGACACAGGTGTAATTCATTTTTTGTTTTCTACAGGATCAATTCTTGGCCAAGCTTAAAAAACAAAGGAACACTTTGTATGAAGAAAAACTGCGTGAATTTGAAAAACTGCTCGCAGAAGAAAGAAAGAAGAAGTTGGCGGAAAGGAAAATATCACGTAAAAAAGAACGAAAACTTCAATGGGTCAAACAAAAACATGAAGAGGCGGCACTTAGGAGGGCGGAAACACTTCGGTAAGCCAAACTGATTTTTAAGAGATTAGACAGATACTCTACCTAAGGCTTTTGAGAAGCAAGCACCTTAATAATAATTATAGTGATTTTTGAATATCAAAAGTACTTTTAACTGCAAGCTTGTACTCATTGCTAGTGGCATAAATTAATTGTAGGCATCTTGGGTTTCGGTAACAAAATTCTTTTCCATTTTACAAAGTGAAGATGCCTTTGTCTCTAATATCAAAATCAAATATGTAATCATGTGAAAATGTTTTAGAAAAATTGTCAATAATTCAAATAAAAAAGGCTTGCTTAAGGGTATAGAAATAGGAAAATATTTGAAGACAAAACTACCAAAACTCAATTGAGACAGCATAAGAAACAAACCCTGTCGATATAGGTACATACAAAAAACTTATGGGTAGAACAAATTTTTAAGTAGCATGGACTTAGTTCACTTGTAAAATGGTGAAAATGAGGAATATCGTATTTTTTTATTTATTTCATTTCAAGCTAGAATTTTACAGTTGCAATTTAATAGCTTATAACATTGTCATCAGTACATTCTTTTAGACTATATAAGTACAATGTTTGAATACATACATGAACATAATTATTTTGTTTGCTTTCATTATAGGCGTGCACAATGGATTTTATACAATCTGTGTGTGCATCCCTTTCTTTCGTTAATATTTAACTAACTCGAGCTAATGCATTTTTTATTTGGTATATAGCTTAAGCAGATAACCTGACTTACACCAACTTGCATAGTAACATTAGAAGTTTTTATGCAAACCAGATGAGATGATATTTTCAATGATCCATGGGCTAATTTTCTTTTTTACTTTTTTATAAGAGGCTGATCTATACTGAAAGGTTAGGATATTAAACAACTTTGGACCTGTATATCTAAATGTTTCTGGATGGCTGCACCTCTGGCTGACAGTAGCAAAACATCATGTCGAGCTGCGGTTCTGGTATTAAATTGATGTTGAAGGTTATTTTTGTAATATGGAAATTTTAGCATGAATCTTATTACAGACTTGATGTATAACTGCTCGAAATTGAGCAATTCACTTTGCTCAATGAGTAGTTGTGTTGAGAACCTTTTATTTTTGAAAAACATTATCTTTATGATGTATTTCTGTGCGCTGACAGAGGTCTTGCCTGCATTTCCCCATGAGCAGTAAACCATTTTTAATCTCTTTACCTGTAATATATATATTTCTTTGCTCATATAATTTATAGATTAGTTTTCTAACTTTACATGTAAAATCTTCGATATGATTTTTCCATGTCAAATTTTCATCAATAACGACTCCCAGGTATTTCAAAAATGGTTTTCTCTCTATTTTTATATTGTATTTACATTGTTTGGTTTCCATTGTACAGTCATCCTCATCCACCTGTAAGTGTTTAAAATCGGGCATAGCACTCAGTGTCAAGCCTAATGTCATGAGCTTTGTCTTGTCAGCATCCAAGGAGAGTAAACTGAAATCTAACTATGCTTTAATTTTTGCGATAGCTAGTTCCGCCTCATTTCGCACCAAGTCACATGACTTATCCTGCATAATCACGGCAGTGTTATCCGCGAAGCAAAAAACCTTCCCCTCCTTACACGCTGACATGACACCGTCCATATATATATGTTAAACAGAACCGGCCCCAGAACTGTGCCCTGCGGCACATCCGACTCTACTTGGAGAATGGCAATTACTATATTTGCTATTTTGACCTTTTGACCTTGGCCACTAAAATAAGATTTCAATAAATCATTTGCTATTCCTCTTGTCTTCATAATGTGTAGTCTCTCCAGGCGGGTCGCATGCGCCCCAGAGTCAATCGCCTTGGTCAGATCCAAAAACACTCCAACAGCCTTCTCCTCTCTATCCAAGCTCCTTAATATTTTTTCTGTGTCCAAGAACAAGGCTCCCTCTGTGCTAGCATCTTTTTTAAAAGCATTTTTCGACCAATTTGCTTATAGTGCTTACAAGTGCAATGGGCCTGTAGTTGGTGTGTGTCCTTGCTTCATGTCGCCACACTGCAAAATATACAGGTTCTATTATATCTTGTCTGTTATTGTTTGTTTTATTAAAAATCCTCTTTTCAAAAATTATAAAGAAAAATACTTTTTATAGTATTGAAACTGAAGAACGTTTGGCTCGTGAAGAAAAAGAAAAGCAAGAACGTTTGGAGCAAGAGAGAATCGAAAGAGAGAAGAAAGATAGAGAGGAACGTGAGATTCAAGAAATGCTTGAAAGGGCTGCTGCTAAACAGAGGGCAATAGAAGAGCAAATTGGTAAAAATTCTTCAAACACGTTAACGTTTATGTTAAATTTTCAAATTGTATTTTTTTTCCAGAACGTAAACTTCGAGAAGAAAAAGAAAATAAAGACACAAGTTTCAAAGGTTCCAGCACTGAAAAGAGAGAATGGCGATCTGCAGGGACAGCGCACAAGGACGAACCCAAAAAAGGCGAACCTTGGACTCCAAGTATGCAAATAAACTTTTTGATAAACACTATTCATTTATATTAAATTTTGCTAGAACATCGCGCCAACGTTGATGCCCCAACCAGTTGGCGTCGAGACGCAAAAGATTCTGCTGGTGAAAAGGATCGTGATGATGATAAAATTAGAGATCGTCGTGACTTTGGTCGATCTGGACTTGATAGAAGAGATGATAGGAGAGATGACAAAGAAAGAGGAGGTAAGATTTTTTTACAAAATGACGACTCAATACATAGTAGGGATGGTTTTGACACGCCTCCTATACCTATAAGTCAAAAACAGGCCAGTTGAATGTAAAGGTTCCAAAAATCAATCACTTCATTGCCATAGGTATTCCACCTTCATCACAAAGCTAAAAAAGTTCTAACTTTAAAATATTATCATGGCTGAGGTACTAGGAAGCAAGGGTGAGCATACCTAGTACCTATTTACTCCTTGGTTTAGCAACAATAACAATTTTTTATTGAACAAATTGACTCTATAAAATTTACTGATCACTTATTGCATTTACCAAACTATACACAACACATGTATATTGTTTTATCTGACTGCTGATAATATGTTATTCATATTTGTTGCTCCACAAAACTTCACCATTAGCTTATTGTATGCATTGTTCAAAAGTTTGTATTAATTGATGGATAAAAGATAAAAGGGCATTACTTGCTGTATTCAAATATTGTGCATGTTTGGTGCAAATATACAGGAGGTAATTCTGACGGTTAAAATTAACAAACTATGATGCACATGGCTTTGTTTCTAGCATTTAAACATAATGGTTAGAAGTTTGTATACAGATGAAAATTGCTTTTTTTTCAATTTTGAAAAGATAATTCAAAGCATTAAATCAAAAGATAAGGGATTGACCAATTTAAACTGGTACATTTGAATTTTACTAAAAAACCACTTTATCTGGATTTGACCAAATGGCATCAAAAGTTCAAGTATTTTGTTACTCTTCTAGGTTTTGACCGTAACAGGGACATCAGTCGTAGAGATGATAGAGATAGTAACCGACCTTACGATTCAGGTCGTTCATTTGACCGAAGGTAACTATTGTAGAATATCCTAGAAAAAAAAAAATTTATATAATATTCTATTATTTCAGGGACGATCGAAAATCTGATGTATCATCGTGGCGTGGTGAAGATCGCCGCAGTGCTGCAACAGGCAGAGACGGTCCTCGACGCGAAATTGGCGCAGAATGGCGAAAAGACGGAGGCACGCCAATAAGGAGAGTAGAACGACCTGTAGACGAAAGACGCGGCGGGGAAGACAGAGATAGGCGTGTTGCAGATGAGAGACGTCATGATGATAAAAAACCAGTTGAAGAAAAACGTTCGGCGGCTCCGAAAGAAAAACGTAAGTAAAAATATTCAAGAATAAGTGCGAACGCGATGCTCACATGACAGGTCAATCGAGGTCTTGCTTAATAAAGAATGCCGAATCTTGTAGCATTCTTCATTCTAGATTTGCTTTGGATCAAATTTTGATATTTGAATATTTATTGAATCACACTATTCAACAGTACCACCAATTATTACGAACCAATACTCCATATCTCCTAATAATTTTTATATTCTTAGCTAAAGGGCAAACATAAAGAAATGATTCCAAAGAATTCATCATCACCTGGTCACAAGCACCATTTTTAGGCTAACTTAGCATTGCTCAAATATTTGTCTATTTAAATGTTCAAATTTGATTGCAACCTTATTCAATTTGATTAACTAACAAATTTTTCAAATTGTTTTAGCAGCTGAAGAGTCCCGTGCCGAAGACGATGGATGGACCACACAGACTCGTCGACGTTAATTATCACTTTGAGTTGTTTATATTATTTTATCAAACGTATGTATCTTTATTGTTTATTTTAATTGCCGTTTTGATCCTGCTTTATAAGTTTTAATAAAAAACAGTACCACTCTATGCTTATTGTGTTTTTATTTCAGAAACAATACACAATGAAAGCAATACACAGAAACACATAACCCAATAACAAAATATCACCATACGCGACGTTGCCGTCATTTCCAACTTCATGGCTTGTTAACTATAGAAGGCAGTGGTATAGGACATGTTCCATGAAAAACACTTAGAATTTTATCAGAAATCCGAAAATGTCAAAAAAATTAGGGGTGTCCATTTAAAAAAATTAAGTTACTACCTGTCTAGCTTTTCTGCGACCACCTGGTATAATAATTTTATTTTATGAAAAATGCCCGACAAAAAATAAAATTGACGTGTTCAAGGATTTTTAAAAAAAATGCTTGGTTGAATAATTATTGATATTATTCCTTACTTTACGGCCGCACTGTATAGGGTGACAATTTGAAAAGTATCAATCGGTATCTAAGATATCTCGACTAAAAATACTATCAGGAAGATCTCAAATGAAGCACTTTTTGAGTCACCCCGCTTCCGCCCTTAGGAGGTAGCTACCCTAACGTATTTTTTTCAAATAAGAACCTACCTTGTGTTGTACATCGTTGCATAGCTCGTTGCTTTCCCTTTACAATCTTATAGCAAAATCTTAAATTGTACGATTAGTTTTCGAGATATCGGTGTTTAAAAGTACCTAAGCACATTTTGAAAACTAGTAGTTTTGACCAGTGACGCTTTAACCCTTCTCTGGCCCGTAGGTCAATTATTTGGTATTGTCTTTCATGAGTGATTTTTCTTTTTTAAAGGGTTTAATAAAATCATTCAGACGATTTCAAACTACTAACCTGGCAGAATATGAAGACAAAAAATGTTGCCAAGTAGTATTCGGTAAAGTCAAAGAAAGGTACTATAAAATGATGGAACAAGAATGGTCACAAAACATGCCATATGGTCGGAACGTCCTAAAAGAAAATGATGGCATTTAGCTCCCATGCTCCCAGCCTACCAATCACCACATATGGATGCTGGGGACTAAGTGTACTGATGGGTGCTTGGGAAGAACAGCTGCATGACTTGGGATCAAATCCATTAGCGAGGAAAAAATGCATAAAGGGTTGCAACACTGAGGAAAATTCGTACCACGTTGCCTGTGCATGTCCTACAAGCTCAACAACAATAAGGCACGACTTCGTGGTGCACTGGACCCTTAAGACACTGCTCAAGTCCCTGGATGCTCCAGAAGAAGCTCGAAGAAATTACAATTTGGCAAAGCAGCGCAAACACTAAAGGTAGCATTCCGATCCAAGAGACCGCGACAAGCGACCGAGACCGAGCGATCGCGACGTGCGACCGCAACGGACTGCTTTGATAGATTTCTAGGCAGTACAGACCGATGCAAGCGACAGCGACACGCGACCGGTAGGCGGGCCCAGCTTGCGACAACGGTCGCGCGACCGGTCTGCTCTAGAAGCAGTGGTGCTGCGAGACTAGACAGACCTAGAACAGATAAAACTTCTTAAAATGGCAAAGTTTTCTGCCCAGGAGGACGAATTGTTAGTAGATTTAGTATCATTTACTGAACTCAGTACAAAATTGAACTGTTTATGACTTAGTCTACAATACTTCCTGAACTTTCCATCCGATAATTCATCTTTATACTTCAAATGTCTTTTTTTTTAAGATAAACAGTTGGATGCATCCCTCATATGATTTTGATGTGTAGGTTTGGATCAATTTTTTGTCTTTTTCCTGGCGACAACGTCAACAGAACTATATCCTCGTCTGCTTCGTCTTCCAATAAACGTTTTCTTAAATGTTTTCTCATTTTGGTGTTTGACGTGGTTTCTGCAAGTTCACACCAATGCAGAATGCAGCAGTATTTTGGGGCCCTGCTGGGTCGTTGGTCCGGTCTCGAGCCGGAGTCGTGTGTACTCGTAAGCTATTTGTCGCCTCGCGACATGAGACAGGTAGCCTTTCGATGGTTGCGGCTGATTGCGACCACGACTGATGCGGCTGCGACTTGCGTCCAGTGCGATCTGTCGCATCCATACCCCCCCCTTTCGACAGATGCGACTTTGTATACGACACGACTGACACGATTCCTTATGTCATCAGTTGTTTTCTAACTTTCGATGTATCCAGCACAATAAATTCTAATAAGTTGAAATATTGCAAGTTTACTAGAGGAGGAAGAAGATGATGACGATTCAATTTTACATCACGTAAAAGTGACAAAAAAAAAAGAAAAAAAATTATCTCTTTTAATATTGTCTCGATATGCAAAGAGGCTGCTGTCGTAAATTGATGGATTTTTAGCCCATATTCTATCAAGTTCTCATCATCCTCGCTCGAAATCGAAATTATTTTCAATAATAAATGTAAATTCTTGCTGCCCAATGCTTGCGGCCACTACGACAATGCGACCTGACTGCTCCTAGAGCGGTTGAGTCGTAACGGCCGCCTTGGTCGTCGCTGTCGCACTTGTCGCGGTCGCAATGGTCGCATCTTTTTAAAGGAAACCTATGTGAATACATAAAAGCGGTACACACACGACCGGCCGCATTGTCGCACCAATCGGAACGGTCGCACTGGCCGCGACCATCGAAAGGCTACCTTTAAGGTCGCGAAGTCGTTCGGTCTCGGTCGCTTGTCGCGGTCGCTCGGATTGGAATGACCCCTTTATAGTTTCCTGCTGTAGTCGTTTCCAGTTGCCACGTGCCCGTGTGCTGCGCTAATGACGCGAAGGCGATTCAGCGCAGCTCGGTGACTCTAGGGCGTGTTCGGGATTGATGCTTGATGGAGCGAGCGAAGCGATTCCAGAGCATCGTGATGTCAGGCAGTCCACTCTGGCCAAACCAAATGTGCTTGTGCAGTGTGAATTATAAGAATTAAAGAGTATTGAAATATATGCTAGTCCTGCTATTAAACAAGTCGATGTTTTTAGGATAGTGGGCTTTTATATTTTATATTGTAAATTAAAGGCCAGCAGTTGGCCTTCATTCTCTAGTGGCCCGTAGGACATGACCTAATTGTCCTAACGGATAAAGTGTCCCTGGTTTTGACTATCTTTGAGTAGTAGTAGTACTAGTAGTAGTAGTAGTAGTAGCAACAACGTAGCTATAGCTTTTTCATGGGGATGGTTTTAGAGCAGTGGCGGCTCATGGTCTGGGAAGGGTTTCAATTTTAGATCATACGATGTACCTGGCATATAGGGATGCCACCTTTGAAAATAAGTTGAACCGGAGAAAAAAAAAAAAAACGTTCATTGAAAGAAAAATGAGAAACAAAAATCCTACAAATCTGATAACAGATGCATTACACTTTACTATATATGTACACAAGTCCCTTCCGGCATCTCCGGATGTTGCTTGATGTTGGGTTAGTTTAGATTGGTTGAGTTAGTTGAGACGGTTGGAGAGGGAGATCCAAGGATACTACACACTACACAGGATAGCCTATCCTCATAAGGCCTGTGTAGATCAAATCTCAAGCCCCCACTACACCACGCCAAAGTACCATTTATGATGTAGGAATCGGGTCGATTCTCGTTTCGACGTAGGGTGTTTGCACCACAGGCTATCATTCCCTTGGCTTCTGCTTTATGCACACTTGTGTTAGTTCATTAATTAACATTCTGAAAGAACCCTTTTCAGATCTCGTCTGCATCTTCCTCGTTGCCTATTATGTTAATCAAAATTAAATAATATTTTTCATCATAAATTTATGTTCTAAACTACGACCGCTGGCGCAAGCAGTTAACGACACCGTTGATGATCTCACCAACGGTGCAACACCATATGACCTTGATTCCAAAAATCAAGGCCGATGAGCAATCCTGTAGTAATGTATATTATCCTTGAGGGAGACCGTCGTAGGTAACGACGACACGTGCGTTTCGGAGAATTTTTCCGGGAGAAACAGGATTTCGCTGCTGCTAACCCGGAGAAAACACCTAGTAATCCGTAGCCCGGAGACCATATGCGAAAACCCGTAAACTCCGGATGAAACCCGGAAAGGTGACAACCCTACAGTGGCATAGTCGCCGGAGGATATCGCCGAAGACGAAACATTTTTTCGGATTCTACGCCCAAAAACGGATTCTACGCCCAAAATAATTTATTCAGTTCAATAGGGGGGGGGGGGGGGGGGGTGGTTTGAACCCCCAAAAGCCCCCCTTATATACGTCCTTGAGTAGTAGTACTCTACTCTACTTTATTGAACTCTCTATCGTTTAGGGTTTTCAAGAAAATCGAGTTTGAAGTTTTGGACAGAATATCGACCAAACTTCAACTTTGAAGCTCAATATCCCGGAAACTTTACCAGTTTCAAAAACCAATTTTGCAGGGCTTATAGAAAATTTAATACTCTTTTTAAAGATGCATAATTGTAGGCAATTTTCTCAAAAATCATTGAAGGTATGACTGATAGGTATTATGAGCAATTATTCATGTCAAGATTCCAAAAAATGTTCAGACCCAAAAATATTAGATTTCCTTTTTAGATTTTTTTTCTCATCGAAGTTTTTAAATGTTACTGATGTGAGAGTTGTTTCTGATTCTGACTAATTTGGACTCGCTCTATCGATTTAAAAAGTCAGAATTGAGAAAAATCCAAAAATAAAAATGTTCAGTTTTTGGTATGTATGTACCTACATTTTCCTAAGGGTATACCCACTTTGAATTTTAATTTGCAAATCTTCAAACCTGAATATCTCGGTTACCAAAAGCGTTACCGGAACAAAATTAACTTTAATGGTAGCTCTCCTAATGGCACTAATGTGCTTCAAAATGGTACCTTACTTTTACTGAAATCTCTATCGTTTACTGTTTTTCAGAAAAGCGAGTTTGAAGTTTTGAACAAAATGTCGACTAAATTTCAACTTTTAAGTCTGATATCTCGGAAACTTCAGAAGTTACAAAAAACAATTTTGCAGAGCTTATAGAGAATTTATTACTCTTTTCAGTGATGTATAATTGTAATCAAGTTTTCTAAATTTCATTAAAGATATGACCAATTATTCATGAGCATGTCAAAATTTCAAAAAATTTCCAAAGCCAAAAATGGGATTTCTTGACTTCTCGACGAGTCCTTGGTAATAAAAGAGTTGCAGCGCCACAAATAATGGAAACTAGCAACAATGTTTCGCAATCCATAATTTTGGAAAGTTTTTTCTGGGCACACACAATATACCGTAAAACGGGGATACTTTGTGACAGATTTGGGGGTTTTTTGAAATTCTCAAACATTTTTTGGCCACATAAAATTCTAAAAAAAATACATTATGTATATCCGTTCTTCCGCTACAAAATGGCAGTTCTAGAAAATTGAAAAAAAAATAATAATTCAGTTTTTTTTTTTTAATTTGAAAGTGTCACA